GCTTGTGTGGCTTGTGTTTCTTGGGGGCTTTAGCTGTGGCGAAGTGGCAAAATATCTTCCACAATTTGTGTACATCTCGTATTGGCATTTCTTTGAGGAACAACAAACAACAAACATCGACCTACATCCACACTACCTGCCCCCCACCACATGAAAACATTCCTACCCGACATCCCTCCCCTCCTAAGCGTCTTCCCCTTGTGGGCAACAAATTGAATTTAACATATTTGCTTGAAATGTGATGATGGAACCCTTTCGATTCGATATCCTGTTCTGGATGGATATGCCCAAGCTCAGATAGAGTACAGAATGGTGCAAACAGGAGCCTGGACATGATCTATACTCCGAGATCCCCACTCTCCAACTTCGATAGTTATATAACCTCTTAGCAGTTGACAGTGCATACGTTTATGGCTGCATATATTGGATGTATCATTCTACTATGCATGTGCCCTCCAGCCTCTGCAGAGGCACGTACATACATATACATATGTGGGAGTGCAGATTAGCGCTTAAATCATGATTACCACAGCAGTGACAGTAATTACAAGACACTATAGAGAGTGGCAGAGAGAGAGAGAGAGAGAGAGAGAGATGAAGAGCGACGAGAGATGAGAGAGAGTGAGGGAAGTTTGTGTGCAGTCTGTCGCAGAACGAAATAGCCAGCTCAGAGCGTCGTCGTCGGAGGAGGAGAACTCTGGAACGTAACGGAACGGAGCGGGAGTGAACGATGCCAGCAATTTGCCGTTAGTTTCTGGGCTATTATTATTATGGGTGCGTGTGCGCGTGTGTGTGTGCTCTTGTTATGCATTTGCTTATGCTGTGGCGTGCCCATATACCACCGAGTGAGAACCTCTCCTAACATTTCTGCACATGGGACCTGCAACCTGAAAGAAGCATACAAATGTGTCTGGAAAATCGAGCCAGTAATATGTTTCCTTTCTGCTTTCATCTTTTAATTTCCCAATGTCGTTTGGCTTGCAACGAAAGATGCAACTTGGTGGACACTCGAAAGAGGAACTTTTCGGCAATTCCTCCGACAGGCTGTCAAGCACTTCCATGCCTTCCAACTCGTTTAGCCTTTTCAACGCCACTGCCGCGAGGTCCTGGAAGCGCTGCAGAATCTGCGCATGGACTAGAGCTTACATTACGAATCATTACATAACCTTAAGGCCGATCCGATCCGAGCCGAGCACAGAGTTCTTACCCTAGCACAGGATAGACCTAAATGCTTTTTTGTAGGGTGTATCCCCGGGCCTTTTGGTTCTTTCTCGTTGTCCCGTGCCGAATATTGCCATCAACGGCTCATGGGTAATATTCAAAGCATTGAGCTCGAGATTATTCCGATATTAGCGGAGCATAATTGCCTGATTAAGTTGATTCTCAGCTTCACTACCTTGCCTTTTCCCTTTTCCCTTTTACCGCACCCTTCCTTCCACTCCCTTCCCTTCCCTTCTCTGCCCTCTCCTGCGGCCCACGTCTGACAATGTGGCTTACGTGTAATGTAATTAGTTGTGGATTTTGGCAGCGCTCATGTTGGCAATTAGCACGTCTCGTGCAGTTTTTTGGCCTGCCAGCTCGCTCCTGCCATCACTTTCAGAATATGTCTCAAATGTGTGTCTTGGCGAGTGCCTGTTCGAGTGTTTGAGTGGTGCGAGTGTGCGAGTGGCAGCCAAAAGGTATGCCAATTGGGCTCCATCTAAATTGTTGTCTCGACTGTCTCGATAATCTCAATTGCCCAGAATGGTTCTCTCTTCAGCCGGAGGCTGTTCCTCTCCTCTATTGTGGAATCAGTTCCCCCTTTGGTCACTTGCGATTGTCCATTCCATTCGGCGGCCTCTGTGGCGGAACATTTTTGTCTGCTCTGGGGACTCCGGTCATAATTAAAAGTCATTCCCTTTGTTGCTATAAATACGAGTGACAAAAACAATACCAAACACACACACACACACACACACACACCGAAAAAAAAGCAAATGGAATAATAAGTTAATGTTTTAAGCGGCTTGTCAAGCCCATGACCTTGTGCCCAAAGAAAAGCAAAGAAAAATAATGGAAGAAGAGAAAAAATGGAAAAAGAAAACATTTTGTGCCGCTTTCTCATTACAATTTAATGCGCTTTGCTCGACAGCTTAGTAAAGATTTAAATGCCCTGCCACTCTGTCTGCCATTAAAACGATTTAGTTAATTAACATGCCACCCAAGTAGATGGATAGATACATAAGTACGGGTGCTGCGGCACGAGTGTGCGTGGCACTCGTTGTGCTCATTGTAAATGCACGAAATCGATCCGTGCGAACTCTCTGGGGGCACCTCTCTGCCTTTGATGTAGGCACGGCACTTGCTGGCCACTCGCTGTCTTGTCTGGCCAATTAAGGGGAGGTCTACCAGTAATGTTTGGGTTCCAATCCCGTTTCCAATTAGAGCACTTTCCAAGGCACTGAAAATGCATCGACCTGGCCTTCCAATGCTTCCACATTTCCACACTTGGCTGTGCGAGTAAGCCGCTCCTCTTATCGCACCGACTGCAGAAAGGTGCAGACACCAAAGTGCATAGTTTTCCGCACTCCTTATTCCCCCACTTTGTGGCAGTGTAATTTATACACAGACATCAAGAAACGATGCACTCTTGGTCAACCAGGACACACTCTCAACAGCTCTTTCAGGTCAAATGCTAAGCATCAATCACAGTGTTCACTGTACAGCAGAGTCTGTACAGTTTGTGGGGTTGTGTGCCACATATTGTATCGATTTGCTATTTGTTTCTGGTCTTCAATGCAACAGTTGATTGAAATTGAAAATTCCATCGAGGCGGCCAACCAATGTGCCGGACGGACTGAAGTGCTGCAGAGTATCCTTGAGATGGGAACGGGAATGGGAATGAATGAGCAAGTCACAGCCACAATCAAGTGCGAGTCTCTGCGTTCCCTTCTCCAAAGGTTTCAACCATGAATTGTCGAAGCTTCAGAAGTCAGAACACAGTTACCAAAAGATACTCCCAAGAGAGTGCTGCTTTCTGTGTGTGTCTGCGTGTCAAACATTTGGCTGGAGTCATTAGACCCCTGGCAAGTGGTTATTAGCTGCTGATTGCTGACATCCCGCAGCCATCATGGAAGCTGCATCGAAGACGATACAAATGACAGAGCGAGTTTAATTAAAGCCCGTTCCAGTCTCCCTTCATTGGCAAAAGGGAGAAGTGAAGAATGCCTCAATATTGGGTCCAAATTAAATACTTTACTCTGCCCTTGCAGCATGTGTTTGGCCCAGTGGCTGCCCAGTGGCCACGATCTGCAAGGTTTCTCAGCCCGAAAGCAATCTCATTATTGTTGTCTGGTCTTCTGGCTCTTTGGGAAGCGTTAATTGCTTTGTGATGACAGCAGCACGGCCTGCAGCTGTGCGCTCTGCCGGCTCTGATCTGCCAGGGGGTGCCAGGGGGTGCCAGGGGGTGCCAGGGGGAGCGTGTTTGTATTGTCGGCAAATTAAGCAGTTTTAATTACAATCAGGCAACCGTGAAGTGGAGAGCTCGTAAACAATAGGCCGGCCGTCCGCCAACGGACACACTCAATAAACTGCTTTCCGCACACTCTAAAGGGACGAACCACAATTTAATATCAGCCAAAGAGCACCAAAGACTGCAACAGTCACACACAATGCACTCTACAGTGAAGCCCTGTGTATGTGTGACTGCTGCACAGTCAGGCTTTGCCTAAGAACAAACTACAAAACATATGCAAGTTTTTGGGCAGCTTTCGGGCAATTAAAATCATATTCAAGTTCGCCGAAAAGATACATGTGGCATATGGCGTCTGTGTGCATCCTTTTGTATGTCAACTTAATTATAGCAGCTTAATTCTGTTCCATTGATGTTGTTAATTGCCTGTCCACCGATTCGATTTCGCTTGAATCAATTTACCCACGTCAAAAGCTGGAGCTGGTGGCAGTGTCGAGCCAACAATCAATATTTAACGGAAGCAAATTGATGGATTGATGCGATGGAAATAAGACGAACATTGGGACAACCCCATACATATATGTACACATATGTAAATATATCATACCAAGTACATAATTTCAGCTCTCATATCAACCGTTTAAGGAATCTATCTCCCAGGGAACCTTTTGCACACAATTATCACATGTCAAACGGCCAATTGGAGAGGGAATCTGAATACAGAGACAGAGACAGAGACAGAGACCTTCGTCGTGTTGCGAATGCTAAATGGCAGTTTAATGGGCTCCTAAAAACAGAAGCAATCGAAAACCGATTGAACAAAGCAATAAAATCCATTAAAAAGTACATTAACAGCACTCGGGACACGGACATGGACATGGACATGGACATGAGCTCTCCAATGAGCTGTTCAATGCAGCTCCAGGCGAAAGTGAATATTTACAAAACATTTGACCCGAGCAAAAACCTATGCTACACAGTACAGTACAGCACATATGTCTATGTCTAGATCTAAGGCAATTAAACTAACATTTGGGAGGCTTAATGGGGTAAACAAAGTGGCCAACTCAATGCAAGCGCCATCGAAGCAGCCAACAACAAAAAATCATTCAAATGGCGGCGCTAATTGCAAACAATGGCCAAGAGGCTTAGTGCTAATCGGCCAGGACCCCCACCAGGTTCTATCACAATAAATAAGAGTGTTCAGCGTAACGATTCGTTGTGGAACTCCGCCACTTTGCATTGGCCACAATTCGGACACATTCCATTCGCCTGGGAAGCCTGGGAAGCCTGGGAAACTTTTCTGCAGTACGTGGAACTGCCATAATCGCCATTCACAAAAGCCAAAAGGATTTGCCCACATTCGGGCATTCGTCCACAGAGTTTTCCACGCTCTGGTACTCCACGCTCCGTGTTGCAGTTGCGCCACATACGAGTGAGTCTCTTTTGTCCCCAAATGAACTCAGTTTCAGTGTGAGTCGAACCAAGATTTGTCCATCCTGCTTTAGCGCTGAAATTCAACCAGAAAACCCAAGAAAAAGCCATGTGATTTCGGGGCTGTTTGCCCAACGTGAAATTTATAATTTTAATTTGTAATTTGTTTGTACTTATTTTGGTGTATCCCTGGAAAGCTTATCTCGGAGTCTTACAGCATGCAAGCCAGCCTGCCTGGGTTTTGAAGAGAAGGTTTGAAGAGCGTGTTCTGAAACATATCTGAAATATCCCCTGATCATGCAGATATTCCGAACACAGTTCGAGTCGAGTACTACTTGTGGCAACTTACCCGTTTCTTTATTGGTTCTATTGCAGGCAGCGTTTGGATCCGCGGATCCGATTCAGGATGAGGTGCTTGGCTTTGGGCCAGACGGCGGGGGCTTACACTCGCCAGGGCACGTGGTCCTAACTTCGAAGGACTTGTAGGAGCACTCCTGGATGGCCGTTAGGTTCTTGATGACAAACTCCTTGACGGCAGCCAAATACTCGGCGACCGAGAGAATGACCTGCTTGAAGGACTCAATCAGCAGCTGAGGACCCTGCAGCTGCCCCCGGAAGCAGTTCTCCGACACGTGCACAATGTAGCCGCGTAGCCCCAGGATCTGGGCCTGTGCGGCAGCAAACAGCTCGAACGCCTCCTTGGGGATTTTCCCCTTGATCTCAAAGTCGCACGACACGATGACCACGCCCCTGTTCTCTTCCTTAGCCTCGGACATCTCGAGCAATAATTTAGAAATATTTCAAATTTCAAATAAAAGTAGAATTGTGTCTGGGCAGCTCTGAAGTGATGAATGTCAGAGCAGGGACCCACACACACAGGGCTAGCCGAGGCGCCTACTTCGCTCCAAACTGACGAAATAATGTTAGACTCTAGGAGCAATACGTTTGAGGCATATCCTCCCATCTGTTCAGGGCTATCCTGGTTGCTCATTGCCCCATAGTCTCTCTGTGGCAGCATTGTCATACCACACCTACACACGTGTGGGGTGCACACACAAGCACAGATATCTCCATGGGCTGGGTAAACTTTTTGGCAGGCGCTGCAGAGGATAGAAGGTGTTGGGACTGACGCACGGAAGGGGGCGGAAAGTTGTTCAAAATTTGTCGTAAATATTAAACATTTTCATACGTTTATGCAAATTCACTTTCGACAACTTTACTTCCTGTCGCCATCGCTGGCATCGCTGGCATCGCTGGCATCCCCTGCCTTCTATGAGCTCGTACCTTTGCCAGTTTCCGTAATGATGCAGCACTCCGCCAGCAGTCCCCCTCCGTAGCGTTTCGTTCCGTTTCGCATCGCTACCCCTCGACTCGACTCGACTCGACTCGTCTGTTCCACTTCCAGTTCCTGTTCAGGGTGGGAGCCTCAAATGGATTTTGCGAGAGTGGAAGAGTGGTGCTGGTCCTGGTGCTGGTCCTGGTGCTGGTGGAAAATGAGTTGTCGCTTGCTTTATGGGAAAATGAACATTTATTAAGTTGAAATTACATTACAAATAATTTTCATATTATTGTAATGCACAAAGCGAGAGGCAGACAGACACATTCGCCTATGCGGATGGATGCTGTGAGTGATATGTGGTGGGTGATGTGCCAAGTAATACCCTTGTAATATTTATGTTAATGTGTAACTGTTGCCACTGTCTGAGGACTGAGTTCTCAGGTTTGAGGCTTGGGGTTTCTGACGGCTGCCAGTCAGCCTCAGCCTCAGTCTCAGCCTCTGCCTCAGTCCGGCACTTGCTTACTTCAGTTCATTTGCATAAAATGTCTTAATAAAGATTCTGATTCAATTCGTTTCTCGTGTGTGTGTGTGGGAGTGCCTTCGGCAAGGCCCAAGCAAATGGAATAATTGGCTTTTATCGCGTCAAATTTGTCGCCGCTTCCAGCATAATTTCATACGAAAAGAGAGTGTCCTCCCCAAAAATGGTAACACAATCAATTGTTCGGGCCCGAAATATATCAAAAGACTAATCAGAACAGCAGCATGTAATGGCAAACATAATTCCATAAAATCCCATTACTCTCACAGCGTACCCTTCCCTTCCTTTCCTTTCCCATGTATCATGACATTATACACATGTTTCTGTGTATGTGGAGCTCTGGGGCCTGCCCCGGAGTGCAGTTCATTATGATTCACAGCCACAAATGAGAACAAAGAAATTAAATTGCAATTCTGGTTACGATTCTGGTGCGGAGCTATGCTACTCTGACAATTTACTGCACAGTCAACTGGTGGACAGACACATTGTCCTGCGCAGCATTCAAGTAATTTCACTTTTTGCCGCACATTTAAGGCACCCCGATTTAAGGCACAAATACTTATTGCCAGCTATGTTCTGCATTTGGTGTGGGTGTGGGTGTGGGTGGAATGAACGCCTCTGCAAAGTCACGTTGCTGCATTTCGGGGCGCCACAACATTGCACTTCCTTTCCCTGTTGGCGGTTCTCCATCCGTGTCTTTATCTTCATTGTGGCAAGTATACCCTTACTGAGGCATTCCACTTGACTCTCTTTTACTCAAGCAAATATTTACTCTAATATGTGTCTGAGTGAAACACTCGTAGAGATTATATTTATGTCGATCTCTGGAAGTAGCTGGCGAATCGCAAAAGTTGAGCTCCACTCTCTGGCGGAGTATGTGCGGCTTCGGTGAGGGGAGACTTTTCAGCTGGCTTGGTGTGACACTGCCGGACAAGCCGGACAAGCCGGACAAGCCGGACAAGCGCTGCATACGAAATGCGTTGCAGCCGTGGCTAAGGGTGGTCGGGAAGGCGGTTGGCTGTGTTTTTTGTTTTGTTTGGGGTCCCTGGCCAGGCGGATGGTCGTTGTTACAGTTTCTACTACTCTGGAATTGCGCTCACGTAACATTCGTGTAACTTTCCATGTATCTGCATTCGCACCTAGCGCTCTGCTAACCCCTGCCTGCCATCCCCCTCCATTCATCTCCCCACCTTTGGGCCACCACGCACCGAAGTATCTATTGTGCAATATTATTATGGCGGCCATTGTTTGCCAGTTAGCCCTGAGTACTTCACATTTTGATCAGACGGGCAGGGTAGGAGTGCATTATCTCATTGCAAACGATTCTTTTACACTCTTTTACACTTTCATGTGTTTTCTTTCCGATTTATTCGCCTCTACACAATGTATAATGTGCATACATACATACTATGTACATATGTATGTATCGGCGAGAGAGACGCCGAAGTGGTAAAAGGGAGCCGAATGTCGCTCTGACATTCTGATTCAATTTGGTGTACCATTAACTATGTATTTAATTACATTTTACATTTAAATATGTACATGTATGCACATATGTACATTTATATACCGTAGCATATTTTTAGGTGCAATTTGGGGATATGTAAAAATCATGTAGAATGGAATGCCCTGTAAATGAACTGGCTTTAGTCTAGTTGTGGCCATGGAGCTGGTTGGTGTTGCTAATTGTTGTTACAAATAACAAAAAAATGAACATTTTTCCAGAGGATTCCGATTTTCTGCGTGTCAATCTGCCGTGCGGGGGAGGCTCTTGGGCGTCTTCCCGCCCGTTGGTTGCCCATCATTGAAATGACTAAACGTTCGCCGTGCTCGTCGAGAAATACGAGCATAAGCCCCATGGCTGTTTTCCACCTTACTGTGCAAAATGAGGAAAATTATTAACAAAATGTATAAACGCAAATATAAACAAAAGAAGGGGCGGAGGGGACTGCCGCCTTTGGGGAGACGGCGAACCAAGGATATTTCCTTGCTTATATTGAATTTTAAGCTTTCGACAATGACGGCAACGGAAGGATTTCCACCTACCATCCCCCCCCCCCACGGATGTCTGCGCGTGACTTTGTTTTAGCATTACCCAGGCCACATGCCACATGCCACATGCCACATGCCAGATGCCCCAATGCCGCCAACAGTCCAGGGCAGAGTCCTGCCACGTGTTTATTTTGCCAACATGTGGCAAAATTATTTCCGCTCAAAAATCCACTTCCGGCAACTTCCTCTATTCAAACCACACTTTCTCTCTTCCCGGCATCTTCCCCACTCTGCCCTGTAATTTTTTGTTTTGTTTCAGCTTATCCGCTTCTTGTTTTTAGGAAATTGAAAAACAAGTCAAATCTTTTTTGCTTTTACAGCGTTTAAGGTATTGCACTGCCACACGCTGACTTTTCCACCGACGGCATAATGCCGACTATGCACACATTGACGAACGAGTGGCATTCCATCGGGAAGATGGTGCCAAGATGCTAACAAGCAGCGCCAGTACGGTATCGCGTCGGTGTTTAGCCTTTCGTGTGGCTCAAAAGCGCATCGGCATGAGGTAAATCACAGACTTCCAGTGTGGGGGGGGCCTGCAAGTGACATGAGGTGGAGAACAAATCAACTTTTCCAAAAATGTCAGCGAAAGTACATAAATAAAAGACCAGCAACGAGAAGAAAGGGCATTGCCTCATGCCCGTCTCGCATTGTCTCGAAAAATTGAATAAAGTTTCCTTTGAAAATATTCGCCCCTCATCTTTCTCTGTGTGTGTGCGTGTGCGTGTGCGTGTGCGTGTGCGTGTGCTCACCTGTTGACTATTCCTAGCACTTCCTGGACCAATGTTTGCCCTCTCAATCACTGGGGCCCCCAGAGTTCAAGAGTTCACGTTGAGCGTTCAGCGTTCAGCGTTCAGCGTTCAGCGTTCGGCGTTCGAGCGTTTCGAGGATTCCCGTTCCCGTTCCCGTTCCTGTTCCTTTTTTCCTCTCCATTGTTGTGGAGGAGCAGCGCCCTGGGAAGCAACACTACCCCCGCACAGGCCAACTACCCTGTCAATGGCATTGGCTTCAACTGCCACAAGCACCAGTCCACCAGTCCACCAGCACCTCCCTCTCATCCACCCCCAGCCTTATGTTTGCGCTGGCCCCAGACAAGCTAGAGACAAAAGACATTCCCATTTGGCTTGCCGCTGCCATTAATTAGCCAACAGCCAACAGCCAACAGCGTTGGGCGGGGGCCACCTTTCAGTTGGGGCATAGCAGCAGCTGTTTCGAAAAGTGTACCCATCTTGTTCCCAGACATTTGCCCCTCAAAGTGTTCTTCCCTTGGAGTCGTTGAAAGTGGTCGCTTCGACAGTTCTGTTCCCATTGAGGCAACTGTGCCACAATCTCTTCTGTTCCCATACATTTTGACGCACTCAATTCCGCCCTGTTCCCAGGCATAGCTCTTCCCACCCAAACTCTTCCCACACATCAACTGAACCCAGTATTTAGCGTATTTCTCTTAACCGCTCTCTTAAGCTTTTTAGCTGGGAACAGTTGTACATTTCATTGTATGGGAACAGCATACAACTGACAACAGAACAGATTGGGGTGGGCACAGCTTATGTGGAACAGTTACCCAAATGGGAACGGAACAGTTAAAGGGAACAGTTGAAGGCAACACTTTTGAGGGGAAAGCATCTGTGAACAGAAGTTTGTGTACAGTTTTGAGAGTGCACCTTCGTGTGGCAAGCGACCCGGCTGAGGTGATATTCATTCGGTTTTCCGGGGGTTTTAAAGCTGCCAGTTTAGATTTAAAGCTGCCAGTGGCTGCAAAATCGCTCGAAAAGATGACGAAAGACATTCAGAGGCTGAGACAGGGCTTTTACTTCCTGAGAAGGGTGTGGTGGTAAGACACACGTTGCGGAATGGATCGCCAGAGCACCTCCACATAAATTCGTAATTGAGTGAGGCTAGAGAGAGTGCTGCCCTCTGTGGTCTCTCGTGGCTCCATGTATCTAATTTGCTGATGATTTCGCAGGCCTTATCATTCAACTTATCGACGTGTTATCTCTGGCATAGCGCCGTCATTTCGCTTGGGGAAAACCTCGCCCTCGAACCACACTCCTTATCGGGCCTCGTCATGCGCCGGCAATGCGCCGCAAGCCCACCCCCCCCCCCGGTGGCTGTGAGCCACTTAAAGTGTTAACCAAAAACATTTCATAAACATTGTACATGAAGTGGATTGTATTTTCTTCCTCGCTAGCATTTAAACTCCTCCACTAGGATTAATTTTGCTCTTCTATGTACATTTATTTATTATTTGTATTTATTTTTTGCTGTTGTGGCTTCGTCGCATGTTTTTATCTGAGTGGATGCATTAATGGTGCGTCCACTGAATTAATGCAATCAAATAACACTACTCGGCAAAATCGATATTTGCTTGCCCAAGGAACACACTTCCTCTGAATAGTTTGGGGCCTTGTTTAAGCGTTTAATGAATTATGGTTTTTGGGTATGGTGAACTTAAAGGAAACAAAAACTTAACGTAGAAATCTGGTTTGGCTTGAAGCGTAAAGAAAAAGTTAAGTTTTGTCGACTAGTGTAGTTTTGCATTGTTCAGCCAGCCGACTGTGCATGGGCTCATGCGATTGTAAAAGAGTTTTGTTTAATTTATTTAGTAGCTGTGTTTGGGTTAAGCAGCTAAAAAACCTCCAACGAAATAATCACACAACTTATTTAGCTGTTCTAGTTTTGTATTTTTTAATTACATTTTTTGTTTTGTTTTTTTTTGTATAATTTGTATGTATAATTGATATAAGGCTTCTTTTTTTTTGAATATAATTACATTGTTTGGTAGGCACAACATCAAGGATTATGCCTGCGGCTGGTTAAAGGATACATTGAAGGTAAGTTGGTATACTTTAGGTCGCTTAGGCCCACCAGGCCCATGGGCTATCATGTCCATGAAGGGGAACGGATCCACCATGAAGAGCGTTCCTATAATGGGGGCCATGCTCGAAACATGGCACGGGTCCACGAGGCTGACCATGTCCAGGATTTGGAATGGTTCCACGATGGGGACCCCTGGGGACTTTGCCATGTTTCTGATGTTTCTTTTCCATTCCCTTGCCGTTCTTTTTCCCAACTGAGCGCGATCGAGAGCGGGACCGGGAGCGAGAGCCCTTTCGTTCCTCCTTCTTTTTGGGACAGCGCGAATGGGAACGGGAACGAGAACGAGAAGGGGAACGAGAATGACTACGTCTGCGTCCACGGCATTCAGGAGGTGGACCAAAGCTGGGACCATAGGATGGTGCTCCTTCAAAGCCGACAACAGCTGGAGGCGCTCCATAGCGTCCTTGAAAATGCCAAGCGAAATCGGGTCCAGGAGTGAGTCCAAAATTAGGTCCGTGGTGGAATCCATGACGACCGTGGTGGGGTCCGTGATGAGGTCCGTGGTGGGGTCCACGATGTGGGCCGTGGTGGGGCCCGTGATGAGGACCGTGATGAGGTCCGTGGTGGGGTCCATGAATCCGTTCTCCACGACTCTGTCGGCGGCACTTATTCTTCTTTTCCCTCTTTTCGGTGTCCGAGTGCCCGCTGGAGCTAGAGCTGGAGCGGTGGCCATGACGGCTTCTGCGACGCGATCCCTTGCGTCCGCACTTGACCAGTTCCGGCTCGCTGTCTGAACTAGAACTCGAGCTGGAGCTCGATCGAGCTACTCGACGGTCATGTGAACCAAATTTGTGGCCATGTCCGTGTCCGTGTCCACGTCGCTGATGCTCTCCGTGCTGATGTCCACAATCTCCACGGAATGCTGGTCTAGAGATCGATCGCCCCCTTCTTGCCGCGCTGTGTTCCAGGGCCCACGGCAGGCCCGCCGACCGAAAAAACCGGCACTGCTCGGCCCAAGGTGCCAGCCAGGCGGGACGGCGATCGAATCCGGACGGACAGGCGGCCGCCCAGTCACGTGGCCCGAAGCCATGAGGACCAAAGTCCTGGGGTCCGAAGTGATGGGGTCCGAAATGATGGTGCCCGAAGTTATGGGGTCCGAAATGATGGCCACCGTGGCCATGACGACGATTACCATGTCCGTGTCCATGTCCGTGTCCGTGTCCATGGCCGTGGCGTCCATGAGAGCGACTGCGAGATCGGGAACGATCGCGTCCATGGTGGCGATGATGGTGGCCTCCGTGAGGGCCATGAGGCCATCCGCCTCCCCAGTGCTTGCGTCCCCAGCCATACGCATAATGGTGAGGCGCATCCTCCGAGCCGGAGCTGGAGCTACTCGAGGAGCTGGAGCTCGAACTGGAGCTGGAGCTGGAGCTGGAGCTCGTCGAGCTGATGCTGTCGGAGCGAGGACGACTGGTGGTGGGCACCTCCTCGTCAGGCTGCTCACCGAGGGCTGCACCTGCGGACTTCCTGCGCTTCTTCTCCTGCTTCTTGGCCTTCTTCTTGTCCTTCTTCTTGTCCTTCTTGTCCTTCTTGTGCTGCTTCTTGGACTGCTTCGGCTGGGACTTGGCACCCTCTGCGGCCTCCTCCTCGGCCAGCAGGACCATAGCCTGCTCCAGCATGCGCTGCACCTTCGAGACCTTCCTGATGGCCTGGCTGAAGAGCGTCTCCGACTGATGCCGTTGATTCTTGGCCTTGGTCTGCTTCGAGCCCTGGGCCTGCTGCGAGGACTGCGGCAGCTCCTCGTCGAACACTATGTCGCAGTCGACCATTTCCACGAACTGCAGTGGATGCTGCCCATGCTGGCCCTGTGCCTCCTGCAATTTCCCTAATTCACTCATGTTGCTGTCTCCCTATGTGTGTGTTTTGTTGGCTTTGCTTTGGCTTTGCTTTCGCTGTCGTCGCAAGCTTCGAACTGGTAATGAATGCTTGCCGGCCGGCATCTTTTATACTCTCCCAGAAAGCTGCCGCTGACAGGCCGCAGAGAGCCGTCAAAGCACTGGAGCATGGAGCATTGCTAACTGCGTAGCAAGAGAGAGAGAGAGCGATAAAAATAGCCGACGGCGTCGGTGAATACCCCCTAAGCACACACCGCTTCCCCCCACCCTGGTCTCATCACCCGATTGCAAGTTTCGCTATCAGCTACGTGGATTTGGCGTCCTCTTTCCCATTCCCATTCCCGTTCCCGTTCCCGATACACGGACCACGACACGAGAAAAAAGCCACAAGGCCACTCTCTCTGGTCGGGCCTGCTTTTCGCAACGTGATGAAATACCCCTAACAAACCATCATCGAGCGGATGAGTGCAATTGGCAGCGAAAGAATTACGCAAAACCATGAAAATGTATCAACATGCAATATTAGCCATCAATAAGGGGTGGACGGGAAGTCAAAGCTTTAAGGATCGCTCCTCTGGAGTTACCCACACCCAAATGAGAGCTTCCTAAAAGGAATATCATAACTAAATAACATCCATCAAAAAATATAAAAGTATATTTATGTATGTCCATTGTATGTTCATAAAGGAGTATAGGGAAGGTATAGGGAAATATCATTAAAAGGTTCGGGAAATGGATCATTGGCATCATGATATAGGGTTTACACATTGTTTGAGGATGGCAGGGATCATACATATTAATCAACATAAAGCTCCGTGAGATCAGTCATGCGTTCACAAGAGAAATGCTACATGATCCCTATTTGTTATGTGGATCACTCATGCATTTGCTTGGCTGCACTTACATATGCATATATAAGTTCTGCAAGACAGGATCAAGAAAAATGCTCCATGATGCCGCCATTCAAGCGATCATTCATGCATTTAATTGATCGCAAAGTCTTCATAAGTCCATATAATGGTTTGATCACACATTGATTAGTTAATTAGTAGTCACTCAATTACTTCATAATTGGCTTTGCATTCGTTTCACACATCAACATTTTATTCTTGATCAGTAGGCATCCAGCCACAATATCTCTTAAAGATTCCACATTAAAATTCATTAAAATATCTAACCCAGCAGCCGCGATCTACATCCACACAATATGTATAAATCTCATTGATTGATTTCCAAATCTTTTCACAACAAAAGAAACATATTCATTGGCTTGAGATATCTGAGCGGAATGGAGATCTTGCAGAGGTATTGTATTATTAGCACACATATCGACACAATGGAGCGATCTTCTCTTCAATATATGTATCGATTATTCATATATAGATACTCATACTTATTGGCAATTTCTTTGAAGAACTGCAAAGATCACTTGTTCACATTGATGTAGCGATCACACAATCGGTACGGTACTGGCCAACACAAAACTTAAGTCTACTCGGACAAACAAACAACTTCTTCCAAATTTCATCATTTCTCAAAGTACATCTTGGTCGTTTTTAAGTATCACACATGGCAACACCATCATATGGGGTCAGGGTCTGGGGGCCAACTTCAACACAGAAACCATAAAAAAAAGGCCACCACTGGGACTTGGGCCACGGTAGCTTCACGACTGATCATCAGTCCAGCTCGAGAGAGGGAATCGGGAGTGTAATTTCTTTGCGTGAAACAGGCATGTCCGGTTTCATCATCAACGCATGACTCACAGATGATCAGGGATCAGGGGGTTGGGGATCATGGGCAGGGGCCAAGGCAGGGGAGTGCAGGGGTTGAGATCAAACACAAAATCATTGATTTTTTGCAAATTTCCATGAATTCTGCTTTGTATTTTGAATATTTAATATGTAGAGCGTTTATATGAATCTCTCGCACTGGGCACTGGTCTTTCTTCTCTTCAATAGACTTTTGTTCTATTTCATCAGAATTTTTCTTTGTACTTTTGCATTCTCTTTTTCTGTTTTATTTTTTTTGAACACGTCGCCAAATTGAAATAAAAACTGTACTCGGGTGGGGAGCAGCTGCTCTGGAGCGGGAGGTATCGTCAAATGAAAAATCAAACACCTCCGACGGGGACAGGGTCCAAAAAGCCCCACACGAGCACCAAGTTGAGTGTAAGCTCGGCACTGAGAGAGCTGTGCTCTCCCTCTCCGTGTTGGAACTTTCGAATGATAAAGTTACGCCAGAGCGAAAGCTTTGCGAGAAAAAATGAATGCCACTGATATAGAGAGAGAGAATGAGAGATTCTTCATTGGCACACTTTGGTTCACATTTATAGGACCATATGGACATAGGACAATTGAGTTGACAGTTGGTCCAAGTTCAGCAAATGCTCTGTAAAATGTATACTTTCAGGAATTTTGAGGTGATCTTAATTTTCCCTTGTTAATTCTCCATAGAGTAAAAGTAAAAAACCGAAATGTAAGTGTAAAAATTCGTACATATTTATTTAAATATATCATTAAAGTAATGGCCATTTCAGCGTATTTATTTAATACATAGTGTTATTTATTCGGAGATTATGAATTATATTAAGGGAATATTTTAGCACCTTCATGAAAAAGGTTCGACAGAAAATAAAAACAAATGGGTTACTCCACAGCCCGACAACAGCAAATTGTTCCCTCCCGTTTTCTCTGTTCTTAAATTGTGTTCCTATGTTAGCGAGTCGCACTGTATTGCCCCTTTTAGTACAGCCATTTCCTAGATGCCACAGATGACCTTCAGATTGGGCAGGTTCTGGGTGTTGCGGCAGTAGCGCTGCCAGCCACTCCAGTGACGAAACCCGTCCGTAGTCTGAATCCTCCTGGCACAGACGGCCGCCTCGCGCAGGTTCTCATCGAGCAGCTCTGCAAAAGGCAAAGAAGAGAAGATGATACAAAAGGGAGGAGCGTGAGGGAACCAGTGCGAATCTGCTCGATTCGTTGTCCCCGAATGGCAGACTGTCACTCCAGACCTTCGCACTTCACGTTGCAGATGCCACCGCGTCTGCCCTCCTGGCAGTACCGACTGTTGATCTGGAACAGGCCCAGGCTTCGGGATCCATTGGGGTTCGTGGTGGTACGAGTCGTCTCCAGTTCGCTCTCGTGCTCCAGAAGACAGATCCCTGTTTGGTGGGAGAACATGCCATAGGAAAGTCGTATCCGCCAAAGCTCTCTTGAGCCAATCAATACCAAATTCTACTCACAGTTGGACAGAAGGCTACGCTCGAACCCGTGCTGATCGAGCAGCTTGCGGGCCAGCTCACAGCGGAGATACCGCTTGGCCAGTGCCCCGGGACCACACAGCACACCCAGAACCAGAGCCAGATAGAACAATGCAAGCGCCGCTGCTCTCATCGTGCGACTGACTCAGAGCTCCAGCTCTGACTTAGCTCTGGCTTTGGCTCTGTTGAGTGTGGCAGGCATCTCATTGCGAGTGTGAACCTGGCCACCTCCGGGTCGGTATGGGGCAGATGCTGGATGCCCGATAAGCGGCTCCGGCTCCGCTTTGTTGTCGTTTCCAATCTTATGCAATGAAAGGGGGGGCGGGCACTCCAACGCACACCGCGCTCAAAGGCAGCCCAGATCGGGATTTCCTAGAATTTGTTTTACACTCAGATTCATATTTCACACAATGGGACTATCTCCAACGAGTACATGGAGTGGAGACAGTGCTATTCCGGTTATACCTGGTTATGCGCATTCATCGTTCATTCATTAAGAGATATGTACATATGTATCTTTCAATTATCATTCCTCTAAGTTCCACTTCTACAACAGTTTGTTCTTGGAAGTGGAATTTGGGAACAATGCCTACCCTCGCCGAGCTCTGATATTTGCATACTTTGTCTTTTGGAATACTTTTCAGTTAAGTTACTCAGTCCAGTATGCCTTTAAAATGGCAGCAGCAGCACAACAAATGCATCTCAAATCGTTCCTCTCTTTATTATACATACGAGTCCATTTAAGGTTAGGTATTATTTTAAATGTAATTAAATCGATAGTTAACCCTATGCGTAATATAGATGGTGTGTTGTATAATTAATTATGTAGTTTCCCTATCGTAAAAATCTCTCTCGTTTCCGCCTCTGGAGTTCCACCGATCTTGCAACTAGCTCTAGCGCTGCGACACATTGTAAGTAATATTACTCCGGAATTGTAAATATCTACGATTGCATACATGCATGCATGCGCATTTATATGTTGTGTAAAGTATGTATTTTGTATGTTGTATATATAACCGATTACATATAGAGTATATAAGTATTGTATTGTATGTTGTATATACCGCGATACAAGTTACATTTATTGGCAGAAGCGAGCAATTGGTTGTTGTTTCACATTCGTATTTCGTATTGCAATAGATCCCCCTCCACACCACACCACACCACACCCCAACCCAGCCAAGCCAATAGTTATAGTTTCCCCATGGGTTTTGCTTCGATTGTTTCTCCCTATGCTCTCTTCAATTTCTCATTTCTGTCCTGATTGCACTTAAAACCACTCCACGGGCCACTCCGACTTTTGACTTCTCGCGGGGCAATGCTTTTGGATGATGATTGGACCACAGACAAAATTTAACCAACTACCTTAGAACTAATAAACATTGCAACCTCCTTCGTTTCTTTCATATCTTTTTTCCATTTTTTGCTCACTTTAGTGTTTCCTTTTTTTTTTTTTTTGTTGGTTTTGAGTATAAAATATATATCATTATGATCTATTCCTAGAAGCAAGGAGAGGTTTCTTCTACCAATCGACACTCACTGGAGGCCGTTTTCAATGCGTTTCTACTAAAGCTGTTTCCCCCCACCCCCTTCAAATGTAAAAAAAAAACAAATTTGACAAACGGGATGTCGAAATGGTTAAACCTTCGTGGATCGGGGATCTATAACAAATGAATTTGGCGTGTGTGCCGGTTGGTCTTCGCCATACTCTGGCCTCAAGTGTTCATTTCCGTGCCTACTTTTCCATTTCTGTTATTTTTGTGTCTTTCTCCTAAAACAATCGTGCTCTCTCTCTCTCTCTCTTTCCCTCGTTATGTCTGTTTCAATAAAAAACCAAACAAGTTAAATAAAAGCTTATAGGGAGAGAGATAGAGCTACATAAAAAATAACAAGATGCATCACTTATTTTCTCTCCTTTCGTTTCCTTTCCCGTCCGTAGTGCCTAATAGTAGTTCTCGTTGTCCCTTGGGCTAGTCCCAGTTCCAGTCTCCTTCCCCTTAGTAGATGCGCTCGTAAAAGAGCAGATAGGCCTGGGCCTTGAGCGCTGCGTCCTCGTTAACCTCATGGACACGCGAATCGGATACGTAATACCATTTCCCTGGCGGCGCCTGGACATTGGCAGCCTCCTCCTCCTGCTGCTCGTGCTGGCCACCATGGCCGGTTGCGCCATTGGGATTGGTATTAAACTCTTCCGAGGTAGATGAATTGCTGCTGGAGTTGGTAAAGTCGTCGCTGTCGTTCATCGAGTTTAAGTGCAGGTCGCGCGCCTTCTCCTTGGCCAATAGCTCCTCCAGCTTCTTCAGCTGATCGTCGTCCTGGTCGAGCTCGGCCTTGCTGCCGTGCGGCAGAAACTTCCAGCGTTTGTCGTCTGGCGTCACCTTGGGCCGCACCTTCACGTAGGCGGTGTAGTGGCCGCCGTACATGCCACCCGAGTGTTCCACCACCCCGTACAGGGCGTACAGGAGCTTCTTTTGTTTGCGATCAATATTGGGCAGATTTTTCACCTTGGAACCGCAGAAGGCGGCAATATCCAGCATTGTCGGGTAGCTAACCGGACGTGTCAGCTTTCTGAAGATGCAGCGCGGCCCCAGCTGGAAGCGTTTAAAGTGGAGGATGAGTACGGCCGGCGGGCTGGAGACCAGAAGCTGCTTGGTGGCGTTTGTATTGACCGACTTGGCCTTCGGATCGTTCCCATTCAGTCGCTGGGTGCAGCTGTCGCATCCCACCTTGTTCTGGCCCGTCATCAGTTCGACGGCGGTGAAGTTGTTGAGGCAGGACTGCACGGAGCACTCTCCGTCCTCGCACTGGTACCGCGGCGCTATCGTGGTGCTCCAGTCCGAATAGCTGTACGTTCGTACACGCTTGGCGCGTGCTGCTGCTGCTGATGCTGCTGCAGCTGCCTCTACTCCTGCCGCCGCTGCTGCTGCTGCGACTCCTTCGGCTGTGGCCTCCATGTTGAATTCACTTAAAACCAGCTGGGTAGCTATCTCCTGCTGCTGGAACGTGGCATTTGTATCCGCATTGGCCTCACCCGCCACTTCGCGGACGACTGCATTCGTTGGAAGGTCCAATTCAATCGAGATTTGGCGTATGGTGGAGGCTCCTTCCTCGCTCAGGCCCGCTGTGACTATGTCCGCAGTGGCTTGGCCCTCCTCCTCCTCCTTCGCCTTCTGCTGCTCTGTACCGCAAGCCTCGTTATTGTTGACGGTGGTGGTGCCGCCGGGAAATGGACTGGTGGCTATGCCAGAGTCTGTGGAATTGGGAAGGGGAATAAGTGGATAAAGGATAGGGGTTTCCCCCCCCCACCACCCTCAGAGCTAAGCTTACCGTTCTCATCCTCTTCGAGGGAGTCCTTGTCCATGTTCTCGGGCGTGTCGTCCCGCTTCTCGCCCAGTGGCTGGGCATTCCCGTTGGTGTCGGTGAAGAATCTGCTGCTGATGTTACTGTTGCTCCCTCCCTGAGCAGATGATGCGGATGAGGAGCCGCCGGTAGCCCCACGGACCTTAGGCCTGTCCCCGGGTGTTGCCGTTTCCTCCATCAAATTATCCTCGACATCGGCGTCCGAGTTCTCCGATGTAGTGGAGCTTGATGACATTAGCTCCTCCTTGGGCGGATTGTGACAATCGCTGGTTGTCTGGCCATCGCCGTCGCCTCCCCCCGTCGACGTCACTCTTCCTGTGCCGTCGACCAGCTCATTGTTTTCATCGGCATCGGCATCAGCCTGGCTTCCCGTTCCATTTCCGTTCACCTTGAGGGTGAGCTTCTGAGCCTGCTTGTAGCGATTATGTTTGGCCGCCCGCTTGGCCTTGCGCTCGCGCTCCTTCTCCTTCTTCACATGCGACTTGGACGGACCGACTGGTTCCTGCTGATTGGCGTGCAGGTAGAACGAGGAGGAGGAGGAAGCCGCCGAGAACGGGTTGCCATCCTCGGACGTCGTGAACTTAGTGTTTATCTTGGTCGGGGACTGCGTTTGTGTCTGTGACTGGCCGGCGATGGGGAAGGGCGAGCTCTCGGGGCTGGGCCTGCGCCGCTGTGGTGGCTGTGGCTTTTCGACGGCAACGGGCAGAGACATGTCCAAGAAGTACTCGTGCCGCGACGAGACGCTGTGGCATTCCTGACAAGTCAGCGTCGAGACGAGGAAGCCGCGGAAGACCTGTTCTGGTCGCAGGATGCGGTCACCGGCCTGGTTGCCATACATCTTGCACTTCTGCCGCATCTCCTCCGACACGCTGTGTATGTCCTGGTCCTTGTAGCCGAGGTTCTGCAGAATGACGCGCTGATAGCGCTTGAGATCCTCGTTTCGCACACTCTCCAGCAGCTGCCGCAGCAGCTCGTGGGCGTCATGCTGGTCCCCGCCTGTGAACTGCGGGCACTTCGCGCACAGCCTGTCGAAGAGCTTGCTGGGGGTAAAGACACCACCACCCGCCTGCAACTCTTCGAGGGCATTGGCCAGTGCCGAGGTGAGGCCGCCCCAGGAGGAGAGGGTGCCTCGGATGATCGGCAGCTCGGTGGAGCCCTTGCCCTTGAAGTCGAACGTCCCTCCGGGCAGCTCGAATCTGTGGAAGTGATGGGAAGGTATTGTAATTAGCCATCTAATTGATCCAACTGCTCCTCGCCCCTTGGCACACTTACTCTTCTCCTGGCTCCGACAGCTCCCGGAGCACACTGAGCAGGAACGGTGTCTGGGCGAGGCACTGCATCACGGCATTGAAGAAGCAAGTGTTGCCCAAATTAGTCAGTCCACGAACACGCGGTAGTTGCTCCAGTTCGCTCCTGGGAAAGCCCGAGCTACTTTGATTACTGCCGGCGGCGGTGGCGGCGCCAGAGTCAATCCTCTTGGCCATGCCCGGAACAGGGCTGCTGGCGGTGGCTCCTGGAGGTGGCGGCAGAGGTATGGCTGTTAGGTTGCTTGTGAGGCTGTTCCCACCGCTTCTGCCGGTGCTGGTGCTGTTGCTGTTGCTCTCCTCGAAGGAGCCACCCGTAATGGGAACAATCGGCTTAAGCATCTCTAGGGCCGATGTAAATTTCAGTTCGATGTTGGTGATGGAGGGCGGACTGGGAGTGGCCCCAACAGTGGCCTCTACGGGTGGATCGGCGGGCGGCTTCTGGGCTAGACGCTTGACCAGCTCGACGCACTCGAGCAGATTCTTGCGGGAGTTGGGGATGACCTTGTTGTCGCAGTTATAGCACCATATATCAAAGAATCTAGTGTTCATGGCCAACGCATGCGAGTCCGAGTGTGGTGTCTGCAAGAGAACAAGAGTCAAGAGTGTCCAGAAGCTGCAGAAACTGAAGGCAGGCGGCCATGCTCTTATCTTACCTTGTAGTGCTGGAGGGCGTGCTGTTTGCGTGAGCGCCCGCAGAGCTGGGTGCCGCACTTGAGGCACAGCCATAGCGTGCTGTCGACCTCGAAGTCGCAGGCCACATCTCCGCCGGAGCCAGATGTAGCGTCCTGGCTCTGGCTCTGACTGACCTTCTGGCACTGCGAGCAATCGTACACCAGGCCAGTGGTTTTCAGTTGACGCCGCAATCGGGCCGCATCCACCGATTTCTTGATGTGCTGACAGCAGCTGGACATGGGACTATTCGCACCCAAACCGCCAACTCCTGCAGCTACTCCTGAGGTGCTGGCGCCTGCTGTCTGGCCGTGACTATCCTCCTGGCCCGAGTCCGTTGAACTGGCATTGTCGTGGTTGTCCATCTGACGCTTCTTCCCCATGGCTAGCAACTTCTTCGCTCTAGCCCACTTTTTGGCGCGCTCTGTAAGGGAGATGGAGAATGAGTTAACGTTTGATTAGACAGCGCTTTCCTCGATGGGGTCTTTGTTGTGGCGGGAGTTTGCTGTTTTCATTGTTTCCATTGAACATTCCTCTGTTGGTCGACATTCTGCTCTAATCTGATCTGACACTTTTATGTCATATTGATAATGAATTGATAATCTTGTAACTGTTCAGTGTGGTGTTTCTTAAGTTTTGATTAGGGTATCATGGCCGTCGTGACGGAATCTTTCGTCACACGCTGTCTTTGAGGTTAAGTTCATTCGCCCGCTGCTGCTGCTGTTTCTGCCATATTGCGCACACGCCCCCCTTTCCGACCCACGGTGGACGGACGCTTTGTTGTCTGGCCCGAAGAGAGGCTCCGCCAGTCGGAGGGACACTCAATTCAACCTAATTCCTGCACAATTCGTACGCACACTCCACACGGCCCACAGCCGCGCGTCGCTGCCAGCCGAGGCAGTGGCAGAGCAGAGGCCAAACTCTACACCAGCACAAGCCGAGAAGCATTGCTCTAAGAAATCTATTATACATTTTGTCTCGCTGAATGCTTTCGATTTTGGCCGCACTTTTTCCACAGCTTTGCTTTGTTATGGTTTACCTTGAGTTAGTCGATGCAAAATGCGTTGCACATTAAGCCTTCCTATATGTATAGTGGCTTGGTTGGTATGGCTCAGTGTGTATTCTGCGTTTCAATTATCTTATACCATCTGGCCTTTAGAAATATACCGAAATAAACCTGCTCATTTTCAGAATATACTGAAAATGGCACAACGTGAGAGTGGTATTTATTTTGCTGTTGGCCTATATTTCCGTCAATCAGGTATAATTGGCATGCGCAACTGCTATCGATAACAATACATGAGTATTTTTTTGCAGTATTTCGCAATACCATTCGAATTGCGATGGGTGTACTTCCGCGAATTGTTTTCGACTGGATTTTTATCGCGTCAGCTGCTTGTACCTAATAATTCACGTTAAGTCCTAACAGTTTTGGTAACTATTTTCATTCTATTTACCACAAGTTTTTTTTAACCATTTTTGGTATATCGAATAAGTAAGTAATTTAAGCACAATAAAAAACGAAGTTATAAAATTTAGGATCTAACTGAAGAAGAGAATGGCTCAGAAGTCGGTAAACTTTAGAAATAAAAATAGTTTGTTTCACTACTTACGCGAGTACCCCTATTGTCTTTTGTAAAGGGGTCCTGGATTCATATTTAAAGCCCAGTAGAAAACAAATTGAAACAAATTACTTTTCAGCAATGCGACAGTTCAATGAACGTTTTGACAGGCTTTCAGTCTGTGCTGCGATCTGCTACTTTTCAAGCAAGGCAGGCCATGCTTTATACAAGCCCCAAGGATTTCATTCAAAGAAAGTAAAGCCTCTCGTGCTCCAAGGACTCCTGTGCGGGTTGATGTGCATTTGCTGATAGTACCACCAACGATAGTGGGCCATCGCGTACTTTCTCGATCAAGGGCATTATCGAACTATCGCATCGATCGCGATAACGTGCCACCCATCTATATAGCAGAGCATTCAAAGACCAAGAAATCCGAAGAAAAAGTAAGGTGTGCGTTGAACAAAGTGCGTAAATGAAGACCGTGAGGGATACTTGATGTCTGCGGTAGTGCCGTCAGTTTATTCAATGCGAAGAGCACTTTCCGTGGACAGCGACTATGAAGCCGAGGAAGAGGCGTCCGTGTCCGCGTCCGTATCGACATCCGCATCAGCGTCCGCCCTGCGTGTGCAGCTAGACCGCGTTTTGCGAAACACCAACGGCAATGCCAGCAACAACCACATGCTGTATGGAGCCAGCGATAGCTACAGCTGTGCCAGCGAATCGATGTGGAGTCACGAGGCGGCTGTGGCGCAGGCATTTGCATCCGCCGCTTCTGCTGCGGGCTCTGGCTCTGGCACTGCCACTTGTACGGGAATGTCGCCCATGATGTCGCGGAATGCCAACATGTCGATGGAAATGGCATTCGCTGCCACAAAGTGTTTGCAACAGAACACCCAGCGACGGGGGTATCCCTGCAAAGGTAAGTCCCATGCCCTCACGCATTGTCTTTCGAGTGTGTCCATTAATCTGCTCCCGCAGGCGAGCGCGATCAAATTGCCAACAAGCAGGCGGGCAACAGCAACAGCTATAACCACCATGGGGGAGGAAATTCCGATGACCTGCGTCTCACCAAGATCATACGTCGCCTGCACACGGAGACTAATAGCGCGGCAGCGCTCGAGCTGTGCAGCAAGCTGGCTGTTGCCGTTCGTACGCCCCTGAACATGGCATATATGGCGCACTCCTTCGATCTTGTGCTCGAGAGCATGCTGATGCTGTACAAGCACTGCGCCCCGCCCGTTCTCGAGGAGTGCAGCAAGACCCTCGGCCTGATGGGCTACCTCAATCGTCTGGCCTATCCCATATACGAGGAGTTCATTGTGAAGAACTATCGCACCTGCAAGCGCATGCAGCACTACCTGATAGTCGCCCTGAGAACCACACTAAGGTCCGAGCACATCCTCGATCGATCGATCCTTATCGCTTTAACTGAACAACCAACTGATTCTCTTCCATTATATTCCACACAGCCTTGACACAAGCTGCGATCTGCACTTGTACTCCGAGAAGATGATGCTGATGCTGAAGGATTTTCTGGAGAGCGCGGAGAGTGCCGACAGCTTCATGGATGTCAGCAGCGCCATTGTGCAGTTCTCGCACAGCTATCGCCATCCCTTCGAGTGCCACTTCACCGACGTGGTGGACATCATAATCGGCTGGCAGCTGGAGCAGGGACAGCCGAAGTGCCTAAGGTCCCACTGCGCCCAGGTGCTCGAACAGCTGACGCCATATTTTAGCAAACAGATCGAGTTCAGCTACGGTCTGCTGGCCCAGTTTGTCGAGGACATTACAGTGCTCGAGGACGAGCACGATCACGATCACGAGCACGAGCAGGAGAACGACCGACAGCGGATGGGAAGCTGGTCGGAGCGGCTGGGCGCATTTGTGGGCGCCTTCAATACCCTGCTCAAGTGCGCCGTACGCATGCAGATATTCCAGGGCCACCCCGACTGCGAGTCGATTGTCAAGGTGGCCGTCGATCACATCACCAGAATCATGCCAAGTGTCCTCCTCCACCCAGATGCGGATGCAGACGCCCTGATCAACATCAACGAGCTGCTGTCCATCTGTCTGCTTCACAACTGCGGCGGCACCCTGCCGTCCGAGCACCTGGAGAAGGTGCTGCTCGGCCAGTTCGAGGCGATGGACCACCTCAGCGAGCCGCAGCGTCAGAGTGCACTCTATCTGCTGCTCTGCACGGTGCGTCGTCTGCGTGTCCGCTTGCCCGCCAGCCTGGTGCAGTTGATCTTTCAGTCGGGCCCCGACGGTCATCCCTATGTGGCCGCGGTGCGGCGCCAGACGGGCGGGGCGTCATACAAGATGCTGCTACGCACCTGCCAAGAGACGCTGCTCATCAAGAACGTGCCTCTGCTGCAGCAGGCGTATGGGCATCTGGTGAAGGACATCGATGTCTGCATCCAGGAGCTTCTAGAGCCAACCCCCAGCCAAACCCCTTTGGGCTGCGATGAAGCCGAAATAATGCTCATCTTCCACTTGGCCGCACTGGCGGCCCTCGCCAAGCAGACGTCCGCCATCATTGGGCTGTACACCTGCCAGCCGTCGATCCTGAAGCTGCTAATCTGCAACTGCCGCGCAGAGGACGAGGGCCTCTGGGCCAAGCATCCGAACTCGCATCAAGCGCTCCTCGGCCTGCTTGTCGTCCACTGCCAGGCGAACCACAACTTCCGCACCAACTCCACGCTCTTCCGCGAGCCCGATCCCTCCAAGAAGAACATCTGGCCGACGGCGCACAGCTTCGAGTACATCCTCCGCTTCCTGGACAACATCCTCACGAAGGCCGGCCGCCTGGCAACCGAAAACCTCAAGCTGCTGCTGCAGTGGACCCAGCTGCTGCTGGCCGAGTGCCGGGAGCAGGCGCCGCTGCTGCTGGAGCAGGAGCACTTCCTGGGCATCTGCCGCAGCATTGGCGGTGTCGCCGCCAAGTGGCGTCCCCTCGAAAGTGCCGCCTGCATGCAGGCAGTGCTCGACTTTGGCCCCGCGGCCCTACGCTCCAAACAGGACCTGCTCGTCCTGTATCGCGAGACGGCACTGCAGCAGCTGCAGGTTCTCACGACCAGCGGCCATGCCCCCTATGCCCAGATCTACGCCCAACTGCCGCTGCACATGACGCTGTTCGAGTCGGGGCTGCAGGGCCGTCGGGTGTGCGTTTGGCAGCAGAAGATGAGCCAGTGCAGCGCCGTGCGGGACAACGTGTTCCAGCAGTTCGTGGAGCATCTGCAGCGGCCGGAGCAGAAGCAGCTGACGCACTGCCTGCGCGAACTGTTCGTCCGCAGGTACCAGGTGGCGCCGCCCGATGAGCGACAGGATAAACTGTCGAAGTGCACGCGCCGCTGCCAGCGCCTGGCCGCCGCCTGGCTACAGTTCGAGGCGGCCCGCTACTGCGTCGATCAGCGGCTTCGCACGACGCTCGGCAAGCCGCAGGAGACGTTCCTGGGCTTCGAGGCGGTCATCATGCGTCATGCCCGCCTTCTCAGCGGCTGTGCCAAGGAGGCGGAACGCTCCTCCCTAGGCGGCCTCTCGCTGGAGCAGCTCACGGCCATCCAGGTGAACCTGTCCATGCTGCTGGGCTTCCTCGATGCCCTCGAGAAGCTCATCTACAATGCGGCCGAGGGCAGTGCCTTCGCCCTGCGACCACCCGAGAAGCCGGTGGCCGCCTTCTTTCGCCTGAACAATCCCACCTGCACGTCGTGGTTCAATCGCATACGCATCGGCGTCGTCATCATAGCCATGCACATCCATCAGCCAGAGCTGGTCATACGCTATGCCCAAGTGAGTGTCGCTGTTGCTGTCGCCATTATCCAGCGATTTCTATTTCTATTTATATTCCATTTCCATTCCCATTCTTGCAGCAAATTCTGATGACAACAAAGACGCAGGATGCCACGTACAGCCAGGCGCTGGTGTATCTCGCTTGGGCCTGGATCAGCTGCCAGGAAGCGGACTCGCTACGAGGCCTGTACGTGTGGGCGCGAGCCAAGTGCAGCAGTGGGGGCAAGTCCTACCAGTGGCTGCAGCACGCGGCAGAGCAGGCGGCCGGACGCAGAGAGGCTGCACTGAGCGGCTACCAGAGCGTGCTGGCCGCTGAGGGCGAGGGGCAGGAGCTGGAGCCGCACACGCATCAGTTTGTGCTCGCCCAGATGATGCAGTGTCTGCAGGACACGGGCCAGTGGTCGCTGCTGGTGGACATAAAGCAGCACAAGCTGCTCCGTCCCGAGGACAAGGAGCTCAATCCCTTCCTGCAGTGCCGCAACGTGGATGTAACTGCACTGGAGCGGCTGCTCGCACGAAACGAAAACTGCTCCAGTGCCAACAACTCCGAGGAGCTCGACCTGGCCCTGCAGCAGCTCAGCCTGTGGCCAAGCCACTGGGAGAGCGGTGCAAGCCACAGCCACGGCCACGGCCATGCCAGCTTCTCCAATTTCCATGTGCGCCGCCGGCTGGAGGACATAATGCTGCAGAAGACGCTGATGGGGCAGCAGCCGATTGGCCTGCCCGGCAGCCAGGCCTGCTCCCTGATGGACCTCCATTGGCGCGAGAGCCTGCTGAATCCCAGCAGCGACAAGCGTGCCTGCCGCGAGCTCATCCTCCTCAAGCACATCGTCCAGGGGCTCGCCAGTGGACAGGAGCTCAACCTGCTGCCGCTGATAGCAGAGCGGCGGCGTCCCACGAACATCTCCAGCGACATACTGATCCGCTGCCTGGCCTGGACACAGCTCCTGCGCCAGCACTGCGCCCCCGGCAGCTGGGAGACCCTCTGCCTCGATGCAGCGGCCGCAGCCCGTGACGAGGGCAACCTACAGACATGCCAGTCGCTGCTCAGCCAGTACTTTGGCCAGCCGCTGGAGGAGATCACCTTCAGTGGCAGTGACATCCTGGACACGGAGAATGCGGAGGTGCTGCGCAGCCACAGCGAACTGGCCAAGTGCCTGCACCTCCAGCAGACGCAAACGCCGTGCAACAGCTCGGATCTGGGGCCAGCCATCAATTTGTGCGCCTCCCTGTGCCTGAGCCTGCACCGGAGGAGCAGCCACACCCACCAGGACATGGGCGCGGGTCTGCTGCTGACCCTCTCGGAGTGGATAAGCGCGCGAAGCAGCGGCAATGGGAATGCCATGGCTCTGGCCCCTAATCTCCAGTCGCCCGTCATCGACCAGCTGCTGGAGGAGCTGCCCGAGTGCCCGCTGACGCGCGATTCGAGCTCCACCCAACTGGTGGCCATTCCCCAGGGGGAGCGACTGGTGGCTCGCCTCATCCATGCCAGCCTCGAGCAGCGGCCCAACTGCGAGGAGGCGCTGATCGCGTACGGCAACTGGTCCTATCGCTGGGGCAAGAAGATCGTCGACAGCGGCAGTGTGCTCTCCCAGTCGGACGTGGCTGCCCTCAGTCGAGCGCTGAACCGGCAGACGCCGCTGGAGAGCGAACGCCTCAACGAGCGGCTGCAGGCGCTCAGCATGGATCAGCCGCCAGCCGGTTGCGTGGAGATGTGCCCCGAGGCGGCGAAGATTCGGGACGACGAGGCCTCCAAGAGCTGCCTGCGTCGGCTGAGCCTGCTGGAGTGCCAGCCGGACAGTGTGCTGGACGAGATCCTGCGCATCTGGCGACAGGCCATTGGCAACACGTACGACTTCTACAAGGATGCGGCTCGCTCCTACTTCCAGTATCTCAGCATCAAGGCGGGAGCGTGCCAGGGAACGGGGGCATCCGGTGGCGGCTTGAGCAGCTGCCAGAAGGGGGACGCCAGATTCCAGGTGGACGACAGCAATCTGGTGACCACAACGCTGCGCCTACTGCGGCTGATCGTGAAGCATGCCAGCGGGCTGCAGGACGTCCTCGAGCAGGGACTCCGCACCACGCCCATTGCCCCCTGGAAGGTGATCATACCGCAGCTGTTCAGCCGCCTCTACCATCACGAGCCCTACGTCCGGAAGAGCGTGTGCGCTCTGCTGTGCCGCCTCGCCGAGAGTCGCCCCCAGCTGGTGATCTTTCCCGCCGTCGTTGGTGCCAATCGGGAGAAGCAGCAGCAGCAGCAGGACAAGGAGAAGGACAAAGACAAAGATAAGGAGAAGGAGAAGGAAAAGGAAAAGGATGAATCAAAGGATAAGAAAAACTCCTGCTATGGCTATCTGCTAGGCGCCCTATCCAAGCAGGCACCCGAGGCCGTGCAGCATGTCCAGCTGATGGTCGAGGAGCTGCGGAGGGTGTGCCTGCTGTGGGACGAGTACTGGATACACTCGCTGGCGCACATATACAACACCTATGTGGGGCGCGTGAATGCCTTTGCCACGGAATTCAAGCCGGACGACCACGAGGGCAAGAACAATCGCTTCAATAGCTGGCGGCCGCAGCTGCTGCTCGACTTGGAGGCCCTTGTGGCGTTCACAGCCCGTGCGCCGGAGACCAGCTACGAGCGGAGCTTCCGCAAGCGATTCGATGTGCACATCAAGTCCACGCTGGAGGTGCTGCGAACGCGACGCTATCCGGAGGCCTGGGAGAAGCTCAAGCAGCTGTATCACACGCTGCAGGCGAACATGATCCGAGGCACGGCCATGACCCTTAAGATGCAGACCGTCAGCCCCGTGCTGTGCGGCATCGGCCGCATGCGCATCTCCATGCCCGGAGTGGACGAGCAGGAAAGCTACGGCGGCGACCAGGAACCCGATCAGGTGCACATCGAGAGTGTCGAGGGCACAGTGTGCATTCTGCCCACAAAGACAAAGCCCAAGAAGGTGGCCTTCTATGGGAGCAACGGGCAGCGGTACACGTTCCTCTTCAAGGGTCTGGAGGATCTGCATCTCGACGAGCGCATCATGCAGTTTCTGTCCATCTCGAACGCCATTATGGCCTGCCGCAGCGACCAGCCCCGACCCGGCGGTGCGACCACCTCTTATCGCGCCCACCACTACTCGGTGATCCCGCTGGGCCCACAGTCGGGCCTCATCAGCTGGGTAGATGGCGTCACGCCGCTCTTCGCCCTCTACAAGAAGTGGCAGCAGCGCCAGCCGGCCCCGTCCCCAGGCGGTGGCGGTGGCGGTGGCGGTGTCCCCTCGCATCGCTTCACGGACCTCTTCTACAACAAACTGACGCCTCTGCTGGCCAAGAGCGGGCTCAGCGTAAACGATCCGCGCCGCCAGTGGCCAATTGCCGCCCTGCGGCAGGTCCTCAGCGAACTGTCGGATGAGACGCCCAGCGATCTGCTCACAAGAGAGCTGTGGTGCCAGGCGGGAAATGCCGCCGAGTGGCGCCAGTCCGTGCGCCGCTACTCTGCCTGCATGTCCGTCATGTCGATGATCGGCTATGTCATCGGTTTGGGGGATCGCCATCTGGACAATGTGCTCATCAACCTCGGCAGCGGCGACATCGTTCACATCGACTACAACGTCTGCTTCGAAAAGGGCCGCACGCTACGCATACCCGAGAAGGTGCCCTTCCGCCTCACACAGAATTTGATCAATGCCCTCGGCATCACTGGCATCGAGGTAAGTAATATTCTTATCCTCAACCTTATCTATAATTTTCCACCACAATTTTCGACCATTTTGGGCCATATGTGTGTCGCAATAGTAGACAGACATTTGATTCAAATCATATACGATTCCCATTGTGAAGAGCTTCCATAATTAGGAAAAGTCTTTGAAGTCAGGCTTTGTAGAGCTTCAGTCTTCGGATCTCTATCATACTACATAGAAAACAACAACCTTTCTAAGCGAGACTCAAGCCGAGCTCCGAGCCCATTCTCGGGAGTTCTCTTCTTTGTTTTTCGCTTGTGCGTATCTGGGTGGTGCGGGTAGCAAAGCAAACTAAAATATGGACCAGGAAGCAAGAACCTCTTCGGTTGATCTTCAAGTTAAGATCCAAAAAGGAATTTACACGAATTATTTGTTCGGGTGCTTTATTGAGAGAGTTCACTGAGTGGTCGGGAGGGAGGAGGGAGGGGACTGAGACTGAGGCTGAGACTGAGACTGAGACTGAGTGGGCTTGGACTTACAGTCGGTTTTGATGGTCGTGTGGTAGGCAGCCGACGATGAGGCGGAGGAGCTGGCCGCCTCCATCTCCCTATCGATACGATGCTTGCAGGACGTCGGCAGATGATCGGCCTCCTCGTCGCCAGCGCCATCGACGTGGCAGAAGCGCGTCGACTTGCAGCAGAGGGTCTGGGCGAAGGCGCGCCGGAAGCCAGAGTTCTTCCACGAGTAGATGATCGGATTGAGGGCAGAGTTGGCGATGGCCAGCGAGAAGGTGGTCTTGTAGATCATCGAGCTGCTGCGGCAGATGCTAAAGAGCTGGGCGATTGCGACGCAGAAGTACGGCAGCCAGCAGAGCGTGAAGCAGCCCATAATGAAGACCACAATCTGGACGCTCTTCCAGTCCGGATGCAGCAGGCCCCTGCTGCTGCTGTCCGTGTTGTAGACCACGCATGAGGCATGCCGCAGCCGCTGCGCCTGCTTGGAGGCCTCGCGCATTATCCGCCAGTAGACCATCAACATGCAGATCCAAATGATCACGAATCCGGGCGTTATAACCCCAGCCACGTACCCCGGGGACAGGACCTCGTCGAACTCGCAGGCCTGCGCCAGAGTCCAGCGGTTCCAGAACACCGGCATCAGTGCCACCAGGGCGCCCGCACACCAGTTGGATGTGATGATGACATACGCCACACGACGCGTCATGTATCTGTCATAAGCAATGAGAAATGAAAGAATTCGAATTGAAGGAAGGGATTGCAAGCCGTACCTTCTGTAGTGCAGCGCATAGACCACGGCTATGTACCGGTCGACGGCTATCGAGATGAGCGTCAGCATGGAGACGCAGCAGGCGCAGATGAACAGGAAGAAGCGCAGTAGGCAGGGTCCCCTCATGGCGCCCAGACCGGAGCCCATGTAGAACACCAGGTGGTAGGGCAGGGCCAGGCCCACGCAAAAGTCGGATATCGCCAGCGAGAGGATGAACAGATTGGAGATGACGGAGCGCAGGTTGCGGCATGTGCGAACGGCGACAATTGTGAGCACATTCCCGCCCAGAATGAGCACAAAGAGCAGCACATTGATGGCCAGCCAGAGCAGATGGCCCGCACTCAGGCCGGTAGATTGGAGTCCTGCTGCTGCGCCTAGCTCTGCTCCTGCCACTGCTCCTGCTGTATGCTCATCCTCCTCCTGCATGAGGGACTCGTTCCATTTGGTGGCTTTCTGTACGGCATTCCACATGATCGGATATGATTCCCCTACAAGGGCCATGAAGCGGCCACAAAACAGAACACAGAAAATGCCTCGAAATTACGTTTGAGAGAGCAGATCCAAACGCACGCGACGCCAGTGGGCAACCATCTGGCAGTGGGCCAGTAGATAGAACAGAAACCCCGTACGTCCATGGGGCAAGGACTTCGGTTGTTCGGGTGCTCGTGTCGCTATTCAGTGCAGATATTCGTGGGCGTCGTTTGTTGTTGACGTTCCGCAGTGTCAGTGCCTGTTGCGGTGTCACCATCGTCATCGATGATGATGATGATGGGCATCATTAATACACAACATCATCATCATCATCATTATTGTGCACTGATAACGACAGTACGACAGAGATCCGCAGCGTGAGAACCGCAATCCGTTGATAAGCCCCCGGGCCACAGCATAGAACATCAGGGAACAGCAGTCGAAAAGCCACCGAAAGCCATGGAGCTGCAATGCCAATGGCAGTGGGCAATGGGCAATGGGCAATGGGCGATGGAAATGGGCAAATAACAGCAACAGATCCGCCGCTGGGGGGTTTCACAGATTAGCCTTTGGGTCTCTGGGTCGTGGGTCCCCAAAAAAACAAAACAAAAATAGATCGATAAAGTTGTTCGGAGTTCTTCAATGTGCTCCAGCTCCGATGATACAATCCCCAAAATAACTGAGCACTCGCACTGGGTGGATGGTTTGTCTCCCCAGCAGTTGGCAATTTCGTATCCCTGTCAATATCTAGTGATATCTATGCGCATTAGCTCTGTCGAGTCTATCGCACCCACTGGGCCTTTTTGCATGTGGCCCACACTGTGTTGTCGTGTGGCTTATTTGCAGATGGATATTTCCCCCCGCTCGTACCTCTTGCGCGTCCCAAAGATATGCGTATAACTATACGTACAGCAGCTCCCCTCGGCTTACTTAAAAATTGAATGGGAAAAAAGGGAAAATGCGCAGCCGTGCAGCAGCGACCCTCGTTCGTTGACTTTCCCCATAAGCCATAAGAGATCACCTCGAACCCTCGAATCTGCAAGGAGATCAAACCCATCAAATCTATTATTTCAAGTACAATATGCACATGGATGTAGGCATAGAATACAAACGTTTCAAGTATCTGCGATAGGTTGATGTGTACAGAGATACACAGCCGGATAGATACGGGGGCCATGTGGGGCAATCAAGAAAGAATCAACTGAGAATGAGGCATGCCATGAGGCTGGCGGGCGGGGGCGATGGCGGGAGCGGCACATGTGGCCACAAAATCTGAACAATAGATACAACAGATATAGATATGGATATATGTAGACTCCCTGAAAGGCGAGAACGCGATTCGTGGCGGAGCTTATCGCATGAATTACGGGCCAATCTGCAATTGTAAATAGCGATTAGAATCCCAGTCGTAGTCCTCCGCTGGCAGGGAGGACCAGAGCGGGAGAGGAAGGGAGGAGCTCCATGTAGAACATGGTTATGGTATGGTTCGATGGCTAGTGGTTCTGGTTTATAGGATACCGTCCATAAATATATCTGAACCGATTGTCACAGTTGTGTTTTATCCGGTTTGCATACAGTTTTATGATCTACTCGTACTCGCTTCATTGATGGGTGTTGGGGCGGGGCGGGGGTGGTCATTAAACAATATTAATTATGGTTGTGTCATCCATTGCAGGGCGCCTTTCGTCTGGGCTGCGAGTACGTGCTGAAGGTGATGCGCAAGGAGCGCGAGACCCTGCTGACCCTGCTCGAGGCCTTTGTCTACGATCCCCTGGTGGACTGGACGCTCAATGACGATGCCCAGACACAGCGTCGCTGCATCAATCCGAAGCAGCCGGAGAACGGGGGCGCCAAGTGCCACAAGAACAAGGACAAGGCCCAGAGACATCGCGCCCCTGACTGGGAGGCCAAGCGTCCGCTTTTCACCGAGAAGCTCGCCCAATTGCACAAGTTTTGGTCCACCAATGAGTGAGTAGTCCGCCAAGGGGTATGGGTTGCTTGATTTCTGATTTAATTTCCTCGTCTTTTCCTTTTAGGGATGAAATCCTACTGCAGCTGCAGGAAGTGGGCCAGGAGCTGGGCAACTTGGAGGCTGCGCAAGCGCAGCGCCTGGCCGCAGAGAGGGAGCTCGAGGAGCTGAACGAGCGCAGCGCCTTGGTGGCGGAGATTAAATCGCTGGGGCCGGCCATGAAAAGCCACAGCTTCAACACGGCACCGCTGCGTCTGCAGCAGACGCGCAAGCACTTGACCGCTCTCATGGAGCTGACGGTGGAGCGGCGGGCGGACTTTGCGTTCGTCCAGTGCCTCCTCGCCAGCTACAGCCAGTGCCTGCAGCCGTACCACCTCTCGCAGCTGCACGCCCAACTGCAGTCGCTGCACCCAGTGGAGGGCAGCTGGCATGAGGAGCACCTCGCCCTGGCAGATGTACTCCAGATGTACGTGCCCGGAGCTCTACTCGCCAGCATCGAGAGCACGCGCACTCAGGTGGACTCGCTGCTGGTTGGCATCAACGAGGTGGCTCGCCACTGCACGGATCTTATGCAGCAGTATGCGGCCGTTATGGCCTTCTATCCGAACCAGTGCCACCGGCAGAAGCTCATAGTGCGCTTCCACGACAGCTATGCGGCCTACCTGCAGCTAGAGGGGGCCGTCGATTTGGCGGCCAACAGCCCCTCCATCTGCACGCAGAGCGTGACGAATCTGGCCGAGACGCTGGAGGTGGTTTGGCTGCATCTCGGCTGCCAGCTGCACGACTCCACCCAGCGGTACTCCGTCAAGCAGGTGCAGATCCTCAGCCTCGTGCCGCCGACGTCAACGGCCACCTTCCTTCAGCGGATTCAGCAGTCCGACTGCAGCCTGTTGCTGCTCAACTCTTGCTTGATGCGCACCCTGGACATTGCCAGCTCCTCCTTCCGCGCCTACGAGGCGCAGGCTCTCGACGAGCAGGACAAAGAGCTGCTGCAGCATCAGCTGCGCTACATCCACGTGATTCGGTCCATGTGCCATGGTGTAATGGGTGCCAATAGCACCGGCGGCACCAGCGGCGGCGACAATGACCAGCAGGTTCAAGACCTGTATCTTGGCCAGCTGGAGACCCTGCTGGCAGCCCTCATGCAGCTGCAGCGCCTGTTCGCGTACGACCTGCCCGCGAGCATATTCCGGCAGCTGCTGCTGCAGCCCAATCTCGATCAGCTGGAGGAGCTCTCCAAGCTGGGGCCGAAGAGGCTGCAGCAGCTCTACAGCGACACTCTGGCGCTGGCCGAACAGCGGCCCAAGGATATCAGCGAGCAGCAGCGATTCATGCTCTCCCTGCAGCCGATCCACCAGCAGTTCCAGCTGGTTGGCACTTTGCTCGATGATATGCGAAAGTGCTTGAAGCAGCGGATCGAAGACATCACTGCCACCCATGCCCAGCAATACCTGGTACGCCCTTCCCTCCCGCCATTCACCTGAGATTCTTCGAACTAATTATTATTTCTGTTCTTTTTTGCAACAGGAACTTGTCCTCTTTAAGGAACACAAGCTGGAGCTGAACGACAACTGCTTCTTCCGGGTGATCCACCAGACCTTGGGGGCCAGCAGCAGCTGCGATGTGCGCGAGATGGCGCGACCCATGGGCACCCTCTTGCACTGCATACAGAAGAAGTGCCTGGAAGGATTGCTGCCCCTGGTGGCCTATGACTACTACAAAGGCTACGGCTCCACCTGTCAGCCGCCAGAGAACACCTATTCGTCGATGGATGTGGAGAAGGCCGATCATTTGTGTGGTGGCCTCTTCATGGCGCTGCAGACGGATGCGGGCCTGATGCAGCAGGAGCAGGAGGTGGCCTCGATCACCCAGCAGATTGAACTCCACTCGCTGGTGGGCTCCGCCCAGTTCTGGGGCTACTCAGAGGCCCTCGGAGCGCAGCTGCGTGGCGGTCCGCATATCATTTGCCGCCGCAAGCTGGTGTCGGACATTGCCCAGAGCTGGGGCGAAATGGTGCGGACCGTTGATGGGCTGGAGCAGCTGCTGCTCGGCCTAGACGCACAGCTGGGGCAGCTGGAGGCGCTGCGGAGCAACTGGAACCGCAACCACATCGACAGCATGCTGCGCAATGCGCTGGAGCAGCGCAAGCAGGTGTCAGACAAAGTGGCCCTCGTCCGCCAGCTATGCGAGGGAGCCAGTGCCGTCTGCCACCTGGAGCAGGTCGTGGCAGATGCGGTGGGATCCGGATTGGAGATCCAAACCTTGCACAACCATCTGGAGCAATGGCTGGCCGCGTTCGGCAACTGGAAGGCGAGCTGTGCCAGCGTCAGTGGTGTGGAGCAGGCAGTGGTCGAGTTGCTGGATCCCGAGGATGGCATCGACGACTACTGGCTGCAGAATGTGCTCGGCCTGATCGAGGAGCAGACGTGCAAGGTGCAGCGCGAGTTTGCCATACTTTCCGGAGAGCAGCAGGCCAAGCTGCGGTGCATCTGCACCCTGGTCAAGGAGACGCAGGTAAGTCTCGAGCCCTGTGCTCTAGTGTCTGTTCTGATTATCTGATTCTGCGATTCCCCACAGCGTTTGCTGGAGCATGTTCCGCGTTTCTTTGTGGGCAACTTTTGTTCCAATGCGAAGGCCATGGGGCACGGGGCCAAAAGTGTGCCCGCGGATGTGCAGCAGCTGTGTGATCATCTGCGTGACAGCCAGCTGCTGTTGCAGAGATTACTCGAGCACCTAACCGCCCTGCGCAAGGACATTTGCGCGGAGCGGCACATCCTGCAGCCAGAGCTGGTCGCCGGCTGGCAGAGTGAGCTGCAGCAGATCCAGGCCATGGCCGGCCAGGAGGCCAGCGAATACTTCAAGCGGATCAAGGAGCTGCTGCTGCAGGTCGCCGACTCTGACTCCCTCACATACGACACCTTTACGCACACCAAGGGTACGCGCTGTTCCCACGAATCCCTGTCCAAAACTAAAGCGAATGTCCCTCTCTTGCCCTCTCGTCCCTTAAAGGTGCCGCAAATCTACACGAACAGAAGCGCAATGCCTATGGCGTGTCCGTCTGGAAGAAGATACGCATGAAGCTGGAGGGCCGCGACCCGGACGGCAGCCAGCGGAGCAGCATTGCCGAGCAGGTGGACCATGTGATAAGCGACGCCACCAATCCGGACAATCTGGCCGTCCTCTACGAGGGTTGGACGCCATGGGTCTAGGGCCCGCCAGGATAAACGGCCGCAATTTGGCCTAACTGACATACAACAAACACACTCCCCAAAGCAGGGGGCGGACGACTACATTCAACATTTGAGCGGTAACTTTTTTGGCCTTCTGGCCTGGCCGGCCGTGACAGGTTGGGCATCCTCCAGCCTGTAGCCTGTAGTCTGTAGCCAGTAGCCAGAAGCCAATAGCCAGGGAAGACTCTCCCAGTTGAATGGCGGACAGGGTGACACAAGCGACACAAAGCGAATTGTGTTGATTCGATACCAGAAACAGGGCTCCTTTACAGCTTATTCCCGTTCAAATGGATGGTTAAGTGGGAGGGGCGTACAAGGAGGATACATTTGCTGTCCCCACCAAGGGGCAGAACGACTCAAGAACCAGCCGATCCGATGCAAATCGATCTGTGCTGGATCTACACACTTTTAATATTCGGTTTTCTCGTTGCCAACATTTTTAATTGTTTTGTTTTAAGCTGATTTTATGCCAACCAACCCGACCCCTTCCCCAGCGTCTACCCCTGTTCGCTCTGAAATCTTATATTTTAATTAAACGAAAAAGTGTAATCAATATTATAGCTACCCTCCCATATATATATATTCACCCCTCGCCCATCTGTCTGTCCGTTCAACTCCTACTCCCACATACGGGACACGTAAGCCATAGATTTAGGCAGGGACCGTAAGCCGTAAGCCAAAAGTAGGAACGTCTAGGATGTAGGATCTGATCTGAATTACCCTCTCACAATGAAAAAGATAGGGACGGGAGTACTCTCTAATACCTCCCTATAGATATCTGCAGATATCCGTGCCATGGCATATTTACAGATCTTTGTTATTCGGTCTCTATGGGAGTCGTGTATTTAATTGAAACTCAAACACACTCAAAACGTGCCTGCTTTGCAGTTATCCTTTAATTCTGAGATGGGTTTTTATCAGTAGATTCACAAATCTGATCGGTGCAATAGAAATACACCACTAAGTGATTCCGGATTGACAAAGAAATGTCACGTGACAATCGACGACTGAATTGTATTGTTATTTATATACCCTTGCAGTTCCACAACTTTTATCCAAAGTATGTTTTTGGCAATACTATTTAAGTTTTATAATCGCTTCGTTTAGATATAGTTTAGTTTTTGATCAAATTTGACTGAATCATGTGGAAGACTTTTTTACGCTTGCACACTTGCATTTATTTGTAATGCAAGTTGTATGTTAGTGAGATTTTTGTGTGGGGTGGCTTATTTAGTTTATGTACATAAAGCGAAATTAATATAATACTTCTCCTTCTGCATGGGTATACAAATACAATCCCTTATTTTCGTTAAGATTAGACCCCAGCCTCTTGGTGTTTTTTTGTAATTTTTTTATATTTCTGTTAAGCCACAGCTATATTGTTATTCCGATTTGACTATTTACGGTCCCTGGTTTAAGGCGGCGGATATATGGTTGGGCTCGGTTCGGTTTGATTCGGATTGTGTGCCTCCCTTCCTGATTTTATTTTAGCTAAAATATTGAATAAAGATTAAATATGATATATGATTTGTGTGCGTTATAATCTGTGGTGTGGGTGTGTGTGTGGTTTTCAGTAAAAGACTTCTCCTGTGTATATATAGTATATATATATAATCACTCGTTTATTATCTAGAATTCTTCTCGGTTTTTTGTTTTGTTTATTTTTTTGTCATTTTACGTGGTAGCCGCGAGAGTCATCGACCTGGTTTAATCGATAAATCGAGCATAGATTCAAGTTAACTAACCTCCTGACGCTCTCGATTGGGGTGTAAAAAGTTGAAAGATTCCCTTCTCCTGTGGTTTTGGGTTTTCTATGATCAAGACAAAATGTGATTGGCATACAATTACTACACTTATTCGGTATTTTACAAACAATTATCAAATGTAAATCAATAACTTGCCAATCTTCAATCGTTAGTACCTTATGTTGATCGTTTTCTTTTGGTTTTAATTTATTTTGTTTGAATATCCATTTTTACCTTTTCGGAGAGGATCGGTGTTCCTCAATCCTCAATCGTTCAATGCAAAGCTATAGTTATACAGTTACAATTATTTTGTATACATATACATTCATATATATATACATATAGTGTATATATATAGATATATATACATATCATCTGTACAATACATTAAAGTATATCATTTACAAAATAGTTCTTACGAGCGAGAGCGGCCGCCGCTTGCTGCTAAGGAAACTTTTTCGGATCATTCATCATCATCATCTCATCTTCATGATCACCGTGATCCGTGTGAATGAGCAATAATAAAAAGTATAAATGTTTATATAATTTGTTGTTGGTAATACATCCATTCCAAAATATACAACAAAAAAAAGCAGTATTGTAAATTGTAATCGTAATAAACGCACAGCTTGAACGCCTACGACTACTACCGGATTTCGGCGGATATCGGATATGGCTGGAGGCGAAGGACTCCTCTCAACCCAGCTTCGACCTCGTGTTTGACCAGAATTCTCACATTTCACAAACGGGGAACAAAGTGGGTGAAAAATATTTAAAATATTATCGCGCCTATCTTATTTTCTTATTAAAATGTTCGTACCTCTTATTTTGTTTAAAACAAAAACACAATCAATATGCAGATAACAAACAGGAATATACAGGAATCAAAATTTAAAAAAAATCGTATAAACTAGCGATAATCTATCTATAAAACGCTGACGCACAAATTAAAATTTTTGGGATTGTTTTGAACAAATCTTGAAACATCTTTTAAATCGCCTCAAAAGTTATGTGTGGAAGTTTTCATTTCACATTCTTAGTTTTTGTTTGCTTAGTTTGAAAGTTCTGTGTGGAAGTTTAACAGTTACATTTAAGATTTTTCTTTCGCATTTTTGCGGTTTCTTTTTTTTGCTTTTTTGTTTGTTTTTTTTTTGGTTGCTTTGCTTTTTTATCTAGCGTTTCCTTCCCTCTTCTCCATTCTTATTTTTACTAATTTTGCTTATAATATTTATGTTTTGTTTTTTATTTGTATTATTTGTGTGGGTTGTTGTTGTGTGTTGGGAGTTTTTCTCCTTGCGGTTTTTTGTGGTGTTCTTGGTTTCATTTTTGTTGGTTTGTTTTTTAGTTCTTTAAACCTAGTGTTTTAGTTCTGTTTTAAAATAATAAATACATACACACAGACATACACATATACATATACATAAACATATAGTACTCGTACAGTTACATTTACAATTACAGCATTATCGTTATAGTTACAAAATATAAAATTTAACATCACATTGGTTGACATTCTTTTGTTGGTTGGTTGGTTGCTTCGCTTAACATTTCCATCATTCCATCATTATCTTTCATTATCCTTCGATCTCGCAATCTCGCGATCCCTCCTCCTGACGCATCTATCCATTGACGTTGTGGCATTCTTTCCTTGTTGTGGTTGTTGTTGTTGTGGTTGGTGTTTTTATTTGTATTTGTGTTTGTGGGTTGGTTGGTTTCTCGTTTCTATCAGCATAAAATATGCATTCCTAATGCCAGTTTAGCATTTTGTTAATTAATTTCGTTCAATTGATTTGTGTGTGTGTGTGGGTGTGTGGGGTCTGTATGTGTGTTTCAGCAGTCAATCGGGTCGTAACGGTAACGCAGGGGGAAGGGGCCGCCAAGTCAATTCATCCAATATATGTAGCTCTATAAAGGGAAGCCCCTCCACTTCACTGTCTACACGGAAAAGAAAATCAATATATTATCTAGTTATTGTGCAGATTTAAAAATCTAAAACCATACGTTTCGCCAAACTGTAGCCTGGGCAGCTCCTGACCCACGCACCTCTTGGCACCTGGCACTTGGCGCCTGACATACGGTGATACGGTGCTGCTGCCAGTAGCTCTCGTTCTTGTTCTCGCCTCTCCCTACCGCCTTCGTACTCTCCCGATCTCATACATAACGAACAACTCAACGAGCAAACATCAACAGCAAACACTGCAATATAAACAAAATATATTTGATTTAGATATCATAGCCATATGTATGGGAGTACCGATACTATAAAGCGCAGCTGCAGCTGCTAGCTCTGATTAATGGCCCCAAGTACTATAATTCAACACTCCATTTACAATCAGTTACCCCCGCCATGACATTTGTCAATGCGGATAATTGCATGTTCGAATTTTGTACGTAGCCTCCAATTGCATTGCTACCTACACTCATGTCAAAAATAATAAGGAGAACTGGTCTTACTTCAGCAAATGCCCTGTTTCACCTGACTGTATACATACTATTAATTATTGTGAGACACACAGCGAATATCTCAACAAATACCTCGAGTAATGATAGGTACCCAAACCAAACATCTTTTTAACTTTCTTAACTCTAACTTTTGAACTAACCCGTTGAGGATATTTGTGTGTGAATCTCTAATAAATCCCATATCAATTGGTAATTGCCCAAAGTTCCTCAATGGTTTTGCTGGCTACTCACCTTATGAGGATTACTAATCTCCTGGATGCTCGGGGCAGGAGCGATTCACCTCAAACCAACGATCGATGCATCTGAAAACACAGAAAGCAGATTGCATTGGATATAACTACTGCTGTAATACAAAGGCCTTCCTCCTTAGGCGGTACGGTACTCCTCCTCACCCTTTGTGATAGATGCAGAGACACGGCAGCCGTGCGATTGTGTCCCCTGGACTCAAGTCCTCCAGACAGATGACGCACTCGCCCTTGGCGTCCGACAAAAGGTCCTCTACAGGAGCGTAGGAGAATCAAGACATTAGAAAACGAGGTAAAGATGAGAAAGGAGGTGACAGTACCGTTATATGAGAGACGTGGTTTCGTGAGGCACATCACCAGGTGGCATTCAATGTCGTCGGGGAGCACGAATTTATTGCAAACAGGGCACTTGATACCTGCGGAAGGGAATCACACATGAGCCACAAATGCAGCAGCGGAGATGCGGCAGCTGGAGGACATACCATTGAAGGACCAGATGTGCGATGGAAGCGATGTGGCCGTGTACACGCGTCCGATCCCATTTGCAGAAGTGGCAGAGGCGGCCAGGGCGATGCTCTCGGCGATGGTTCCACCAGTGAGTCCCATATCCTAAAAAGACCATATCCAAATATCCGATTGATGAGTGGATCAGAATGCTGTGCAGTGCGCCGATTACTCACCCGTATGGAGTCACCTAGGGTGCGTCTTTGGGGCATGTAGGATTGCGTCGAGGTGCCATTGTTGTTGGCAGCAGCGGAGAAGCTATTGTTGCTATTCGCCGGGTTCCCCGACACGGACACAGCAACGCCGGCGTGTGGTGGGTGTGTGTTGTGAGTGTGTGCGTGTGGGCTGCTGCCGGACGAGGTGATGGATCCCTGTTGCTGCTGCTGCTGTTGCTGCTGCTGCTGCTGGATGTCCGGCACCGAGCTGAGGCTGCGCGCCCTCTGCCTGTCTATGGAAGTGGAGTTCTGGTTGTGGTACACCTGCAGTCCCGGCAGCGTGCGCAACAAATTAAATCCCTGGCCGCCATCACCGCCGACGACATGGCGGCTGCCGACGACACCCGAGTCCGCACCTTGTGGCGATGTGTCAGCGGCTCCCGTGGAGCTGCTCGAGAATGTTCTTGAGCGCGGGCTCTGCTGGCCACTGGTCGCTGGTGTGCTCGCCTTTTGACCCATAGGGAACCCCTCCTGCTCCGGCTACTGCTGCTGCTGCTCCTCCTCCTCCACCTCTCCTCTAGCTCCTACCGCTACAGTCCACAGCTTCTCCTTTGATTTCGATTTCTGGACTCCTTTGATGCCTGGTGCCTGTGTGACGCACTTGCGCCGGATAGTTCCGGCCACTCCCCCTACCGCCGGCGAGCGCTGCGCTGCTCCTTTGTCTGCTTGCGACTCCTTTGACGGGGCGTCGCGCGGGAGCAGGAGCTGGTTGGGTGGTTGTGTGGGGGTGGGCAGTCGAGAGCCAGCAGACAACAATAGCACTGCCGTGTGTGTGTGTGTGTTTGTGTGTTTTGGGCTGCGGTGATAATGAATGCCCGTCGGTTGGTCGGTCTGTCACCCCGTCCGGATAGATGATATCTGTGAATGTGTGTGTGCGTGGGTTCTTTCGTGTATATGAGTGTGTATGCCAAGGGGAGACGGCGAGCTAGCGAGGGGTGCTGGCTGGCGAGTGTACGTGCACTGGTGTGTGTGTGTGTGTGTGTGTGTGTGTGTGTGTGTGTGTGCGAGTGTGCAAAAGTGCGGGCAGGCGTCGGGATCGGGGAGGGCGTTAATCGGTCGGTGCCTGGGGTTCGGTTCGGTGCGTAGTTGATTGTTATTGTTGCTCTTGCTGTTGATGCTGTCCTGTGGATCGAATGCCAAAAACTCGAGGTGACTGCGCTTAATCCGCGTTGACTGCACTCTTATTTTAAATGACCGTTCAGCCTGCGCTGTGTTTTTCGTTTCGTTTTATGTGTACTCTTTGTATTAATTTTATAAAATAGAGGTGCCCTACAATCGATGTTTTGTGGGTGAGATGTGAACTGAACCAGCTGTATCGATACCTGCAATATTTTTACTTATTGTTCAACGATAGGTCGATGGGTCACATGGACAAAATATTGCCTACCCGAATGTTGTCACTGCTGCTCACCTAATGGACTTTTAAACATAAAGTTATTTACCTACCTATTTATCTGCCCGGCCAAGCCACGGCAGTGCACCACTTCTCACTTATCGATAGGCGGACAGCCCAGCTGGCAGCCGCAGCCATCGATAGTTGAGGGTCCTCACCTATGAGTTGGAAATACAATTTTGTTGTATTATGTGTTATTGAAATCAACTAACTGTGCTAGAAAACAATTGGGACTTGCATGTGCTGCTTGGTTAGTAGGCCTGTCAGACCGATCCCTGCGAGACCCCCCGCACCCTAGCCACCACCGTCCCCGAGAGAAGGAAAAAACCATAATTGTATGCGCCTCCTGCAACGTCGTCAAAAAGGGGGCAAACAATATTGATATTTGGGGTTTTTGTTTTTGATTTTGATTGCAGTTGCAGTTGCAGTTGAGAATCAAGCACGAAGCGAGATGAGTTGGTTCGAGAAGGCCAAGACGGTGCTCATCGAGGCCCTCGACATCCAGGATGACGACAGGGACAAGGGCGCCGAGAAGGATAGCGCCGCTTCGGGGTCGGGCGGTGGAAGCGCAGGATCATCGGACACGGGCGCCGCGAGCTCTGTCGGCGCGCCCGCCTCGCAGACGACAGCCTCGGACACGCCCACGTTCTTCGACAATCCCCATGCCAACGAAATGGTTACCATTCCACCCAGAGCCAGCGATCCGGCCGTAACCACGCCAACGCCCACACCCACATCCACATCAGGTGCAACGGGCATGGGCAATCTCTATGCCAAGCGACAATCAGCCACATCGGACTCGGTCGATCTTCTGTCCTCACCATCGCCCACTTCGCCCGAGGGCGACGCCGCCTCCGCCATGGAGAACTCGGAATCCTCGCTGGAGCTCATCACGGCCACGACGGCCAGCGAGATGGAGATGTCGCCGGACACAGAGCCCTCGCTGCCCGACAGCATCGTGATCATAGCCAGCAACGAGACCTCCGACAATGCCGAAGGAGATGGCGAAGACGACGATGACGACGACGACGAAGGAACCCAGCTGGAGCGGCGCCTGGAAGACCATCTAAATGGTGAGTACTGCAGCAAACATAATGAACAGAGTGGATACATTGCCTGCCTCTCTACATTCACCTCATAGATTCCACCAAGACCATGAAGGCCCTGGTGTTCAGCGACACCCAGGCGGCCTCCAATGTGACGGGCGCCGACTCGGATTCCACGCAGAGCTTCGAGGATATCCAAATGCAGATGAGCCACAAGGAAAAGGCCGGTGGGCCGGGACAAGGACTAGGACGCGAGGGCGTCGATGCCGAAGGCGAGGGCAAGGCAGAGGTGGTTGACCAGAGCTACTCGTCCACCTCCTCGGACATTGAGATCATCTCCAACCCGAACGGGGATTCGAGCACCAACAGCACAACGACGCGCACGAGTCCGCAAAAGTTCAAGGAGCTGGGCAGCAGCCGGTCCGGGTCCATGGCTGGGACAGGAACAGGCACAGGGCTGGCTGGACAGGTGCTCAAGCCCAAGGGGCACCATCGGGAGCCCTCGGAGATATCCCTGCTGTCGGAGGACTCGCAGTCGGAGCTAGATAAGCTGGTGAATCGCATTAGCGAGCTGAACCAGGTGATTGAAGCTCGGGAGCAGCGCCTGCTGCAGTCGGAGCGCCAGAACGCCGAGCTGCTGGAGCGCAACCAGGAGCTGCGCGCCTCCGTAGAGGCGGCGGCGAACAGCGCCAACAGCCCGGATGCCGCGGAGGCCGTGCAGCGGCTGTCGGCGCTGGAGAAAAAGTTCCAGACGAGCATCCGGGAGCGCGACGCGCTGCGCATCCAGATCAAGAGCCTCAAGGACGAGCTGCTAAACAAGATACCCAAGGACGAGCTGGCCGAGTGCAACGAGATGATCGCAGCACTTCAGTCGGAGGGCGAGAAGCTCTCCAAGGAAATTCTGCAGCAGTCCATCATCATCAAGAAGCTGCGCGCCAAGGAGAAGACCTCGGACACGCTTCTCAAAAAGAACGGCGAGCAGATCTCGCTGCTGTCCAGCGAATCGGAGCGGCTCAAGAAGTCCCTGGCCGCCAAGGAGGAGATGGAGCGATCGCAAATCGAGGCGGTGGGTCGGATGACCAACGAGAAGCGACGCGTCGATGAGGAGAACGCCGAGTGCCGCAGCCGCGTTGAGGATCTGCAGTCGAAGCTGTCAGCCCTCCAGTCCAGCTTCGATGGCGTCAAGGGCGATCTGGTGAAGCGGACGCGCGTGGAGCAGGACAGCCTCAGGGCCGAGAACCAGGAGTACGTCCAGCAGCTGGCCGACATGCGGGAGAAGCTGCGCCACGCCGAGCACAGTCTGGCGAAGCGGGAGCAGCAGCTGCGGGAGGAGAACCGTCAGCTGCTGCGACGTTTAGAGTCCGCCGAACTGCGAGCGGAGAGCTCCACTCAGGAGCTGAGCGTCACCACCACACCGCTCATCCGCCAGATCGAGTCGCTGCAGAAAACCCTCAACCAGCGCACCGCCTCCTGGAACAAGGAGGAACAGCTCCTGCTCCAGAGGGCCGACGATGCCCAGCTGCAGCTGCGCTCGGTGCAGCAGCTCGAGTCCGTGCAGAACGAGAAGCAGGAGCTGCTGCGCACGCGCTGCGGTCTTCTCGAGGCGAAGCTCTCCAGCGCCCTAGCGGAGGCGGAGAGTGCCAGGATGTCCCTGCGGCAGCTGGAGCAAGATGCCAGCCTCAAGGAGAACGCACACAGCAGGTTTGTGAGCAGTCTGTATTCTGTATTCAACCTATTTTGTTTATCCACTGCGATCCACAGGCAATTGGCCACGCTGCAGGCGCAGCTGGAGGTGCAACAGCAGAGGATTGAGGGCCTTGAGGAGCAGCAGTGCCAGCAGCGCCAGCAGCAGCAGAACGCCAAAGTAGATGCCGAGGCCGAAGCAGAGACTGAGGCTGTGCAGGAGGCCTTGCAGCAGCAGTCCATGCCCAGCCTGCTTACCGTGGAGGCCGTCAAGGCCAGCAGCGAAATGCAGCCGCAGAAAGTCCCCGTTCAGCCTCCGTTCTCTACGCTTCGGCAGCACTCGCCTCCGCTCAGTCTGGCCGACGACAGCGGGTCCACGGAGGAGGCGATGATGGGCGGCATCATTGACTGGCAGACGGTAAGCCTGGGCCACCCACTGGGACAGATGTGCGATGACTCATTGGCTTCGTATCCACAGGACGATCTGGACTGCGCCTCCAACTCGGGCCGCAACCAGTCGGGCATCATCCAGGGCGTCCACCTGAGCTTCATGGCGGGCAACACCACCACGCTGGAGCACTTGCAGTCGCTGCTGAAGCAGCGCGACGGCGAGCTCACGCACCTCCAATGGGAGCTGTCGCGCCTGCAGGCCGAGCGAGGTGTGCTCGACGGAGAGATATCCCATTTGACGATTGAACTGGAGACGGTGAGTCTTGGGTCGCTAGAGTCTACCAGAGATGTGGTAAAGGGCACATAAAGGGCGTATCCATCCACAGATGAAGGAGAAGATGCAGTCATACGAGGCCATGGAGAAGTGCTACGAGGACCTGCAGCATCGCTACGATGCCCTGCTCCAGATGTACGGCGAGAAGGTGGAGCGCACCGAGGAGCTGGAGCTGGATCTGGTCGAACTGAAGTCGGCCTACAAGCTGCAGATCGACGAGCTGCTGGCCAACCCACCCCCGAACCTGCAGCGGCCAACGAAGCAGACATGATTGCCGGAACGCAGAAGCATCTACTGTGCCTCGTTGCCCAATCTGACATGCCTCAGGCGAACCTGAGTCCCCAATCTCCAATCTCCAGTCCCGATGGGCCATTACTTATCCAAATTATACACTGGCTAACCTCGGAGGAGTGAGAACACGGCATTGAGGGACTCTTCTCATTCCCTTTGCTTCAGATAACAGCTCCCAGGTCTGCCCATGTACTGTATCATGTATGAGGATATTCCAAGACTCCACAGTCTACCACCCAAGTTATATGACGTGTCCTGCTGCTGTTGTGTCTGTTTCTTCTGTAAATGAATATTATTTTAATTTCACTAACCCTCTTCGCTCCTCTTACACGTCCTCTAGTTATATTATGAATTGACCGATTGTGATAATTTAATTTATATTTAAACATAAAAGTTATCGTGTCTATGACTATGTACAAAAGCTGTTACCGTTCTCCGCCGAGCAGTTCAACGGGCTGGGGACACAGCGCTTGATCAGACACAACGCATGGAACGGCTACAGCTCCTTTAGAGCATTTGTGTTCCTTCTCCCTGCAGGATACCCTTCACCGCTTGGGTTAGAGGAAACACTGGCTTGTTGTCCCCCGACGTGGCCAGGAAGCGGCAAGAGTTCTTTAGATCATCAGTGTTCAGCGAGAAGACCATGACGCCGCCCAAGTTCAGCGACTTGATGTAGTTCGTCTTGCAGGCGATGCTTGTTTGGTTCTCGTACGATATCCACTCCTGCAGGCCGCTCAAGTACGGCGAGCATGTCTCCGTGTCGTAGGAATAGAGCGGCTTCAGGTATCTGGCGGCACACTCGCAGGTCTGCGAGAGCGTCGTGAAGCCGTACTGGCCGCACTTTCCATAGCCCGAGGCGGGTGCCCCAATCCGATGATTCCAAGGACTGACCAAACTATTCAAAAACGAAACAAAAAAACATAAGAGAATGAGAGAGAGAGACAGAGATTCAGATCATTCAGGGGATGGGAGCACCTACGTGAAGGAGTGGCCATAAGTGGGAAGCCCGACGACCAGACGCTGAGGCTCCAGGCCGTTCTGCAGCCACCAGTGGACCGTGTAGTTGATGTTGAACGTGGCCATGATGGACATGTCGGTGGCGTGGGCGTACAGGGGCGCGTTGAGGCCGGTGAAGGGCGTGTCCTCGCGGTAGAAGTGAAAGTCGTAGGCCATCAGGTTGACATAGTCCGCGTAGAGATTGATTTGGCGCGGGTCGTAGGCGTAGAAGGCGATGCCCTCGGGGGCGGCCACGGCGAGCGAGAGGAGGGCATTTGGGCGGCGCTCGCGGCGCCACTCCTGCCGGATCTCGTAGAGCAGCTGGGAGAGATGCTGCCGCTCCTTCTCGTAGGCACTGGGGAATTCCCAGTCGAGATCGATGCCATCCAGGGCGGGGTACAGCCGCAGCAGGGCTTTGAGGGAGCGCAGGAACTGCTTGCGCATCGCATGGTTCGCCACCATGCGGGCAAACTGGCTTCCACTGTCGGCGCCGCCAATCCAGAGCAGCAGCTTCACCTGCGGGTGGGCAGCCCGGAATGCCAGCGTCTCGTTCTGCAGCACCTGCCGCAGTCGGGGGCCCAGCCACAGCGTGGCATTGTCCAGGCTGGCCAACCCGATGTTGATGTGCGTGCACAGGTCCCCGGGCACGTCCAGCAGTCTCAGGGCATCCGCATCCGAGGTTGAGTAATAGCAAACCAATCGCTTGGGCACCGCCCTTGGCTTCTGCCCTTCTGCTGCCCGGCTCACCGCCCCCTTCTGCTGGCCCGTGCACACCACTACAGCGATGGCGATTACCGTAATTAGCGACAACAGGGCACTGCAACAGACTAAAGTTCGCGGTAATCTGCGGTTCTGCGACGCGGGGTCGTCACTGTTCCAGTTGGCAGTCATGGCTATCGGTTTCCCCGGAACGGTGTCCTCGATTTTGCTGTAGTGCACCATTTTCTCCTTGTTTTGGCTGCTGACATTGGGGTTTCTTACCAAAAATAACCCTTTGTTTTGCTTTTCAAAAGAACAAAAACAAACTCTTCACTGCAGTGAACCTTAACCCACGTAGCCCACCACTGAAAAGTAAACAACTCGAGTTGAGCCGCGGAAAATAATACCACATGTATATATCCCTTATTTATAGACCAAACTTTCGTGGGTATAATTCTCCATGGGCCGCAATGGGTTAATGCAACTGTTTTGTTCATGCTCAGAAATGGGTTTATACTCTTGGAAGGTTTTTTGAGAATCAAATAAACATTTTCCAGAGCGAAGTAAGTGAACTTATAGTTTCAAAGGAACTTAAGTCTCTTAAATTAACCCAAATTTAAAATTCGTAAATTGTATTTAACCTCCTTTGCTATTTAAAATGTATGTTATGCGTCCTGGCATTCAATACATCATTCCTAGAAGTAAGCATGTATCCGAAGTCGACCATTCCTTCACAATATCCTCTTTTAACTCTTTTAATGTGGTGGAGTGTCTTCCGTGCATGTGCACTTTGATGGAAAGGATTCACCAAAGGTGTTCAATGGGTTAAAATCAGGAACGACGGCTGGCCACTTCGAAATCGGAACTTTTCTCTCTTCAAAAAATGGTTTTATTTAATTACTAGGCAATTAGTTACAGTAATGGTGGGCGGCCCGGGCAAGGGTTTTTTCCCTTGATTTTCAGGATCTTTTACCAGATCAGATTTCGGATCGTAAAATAGCTTTTGTTAACTTTTCTGGCAAATTGCTGTAGTGGAATCCCCATTAGAAACAAAGCGGTTTGAGACACTCTATCGAAAATAAACTAATTTGGAATACAAAACAGCTCGTTAGAACAATAAACTCAGTTGAAACGTTGGTTTGAGCTAAAATGAAACAATTTTCAATCAAACTGGAGCTCTGACGCACTTTTAAGATGCCACCGACTACTAATGAATACAAAGTAAAAGGAATCTGCGAAAACGCTGGCACGAAACTCACTACCCTGCTGACAGATGATTGTACAAGGCTGCATCTGAGCTTAGAGAACTGCTGTCGAACTTACGCAATGAATCTCTGAGAGCTAGCTGCGTAGCTGAGAAACTTAGACCCTAATTCCAGCAACAATGAATACAACCTGTGGAGGGCGAGCAAAAGCAACGGAACTGGTGTAGGTCTAATAAGGAACAAGCGGAAGCATTTTCACAACATCTGCACTCTGTGTTTCAGCCAAACGATATAAATAATTAGATAACAGAGACTGAAGTAGAAAAATTCCTTGAGTCATCCTGCAAAATGCCCTGCCTTTTGTGCTTCGATAGTTAGTGACAGATGCGCGTAACAGCACGATAGATCCGATAGTCCAGTCACTGCACGTAACAGCGCACGGTTGGCGGGTAAATTTAAATTTAACTTTTGCTAACATATGATGGGAACCTGTATGGGAGTACTCATTGAAGGGTCGGAATTTAGTTTAGCCCCCAATTTAGTTTAGCGAAAGGGCAAATCCATCGCTGTGCAACATGTCTTTTACAGTTTTAGAGTTTTACCGTTGAAGTACACTCACGTGCATGTACACCACGTGCATATGTGTGTGAATAAAAGGCCAAGTGGTATTAGTAATAATTTATTTCATGCACAATAAATGTTTGTATGCTTTGGGTTTTGCTGCTGCTGCCTGCGCACTAGAAATAATTGATTTAATTTTCGTTGTTGTATATTTTATTTGATTTATTTATTTATTTATGTATATATTTGATGCTTAAATCTTGGTATTTGTTGTTGTCGTTGTGTGTGTTTTCGCTTAAACAAACAGACATACAAAGAAGAAATAAAAACATACGCTACATATGTACATACATACATACATACATACATACAGCATACTCGTACATACATACATACATACATACATAAGTGTGTAGGTGAAATGCTTTGGTTATTGCTGTAAGAAGTCGCCTAATGTAATTATACAGTAAATGTGCGCATATGTGTGTGTGTGCATGTGTGCCGGGTTGGGGTTGGGGTTGTGTGTGTGAATGAGTTTCATTAAATAAACTACAGCTACCAACTTCTAACTGCTAATCACTACTACTAAGACACAAAAAAAACATGCACGTACATGCTGCTTTGCCTTAACTAATTGACTAACATTTGGACGAACATCCTTGGTCATCCCTTAGTCTACAGTTTTAAGCCACGCTGCGGTTCTCAAGGCCCCTCCCCTCCCGCTACAAAATTCAATTTACAATTCTCTTTTGTGTGAAGTATTATTTAAGTATAAGATCTAATATGTTGTGTGTGTGTGTGTGTGTGTGGTTGTATTTGTAGTAGTATCGCCTCTGGTTTTGTCTTTTTTTGCCATCAAGTCTTTTCGTTTGTTTCATCATGTCATGTAAAAATGTTTCGTTGTTTCATTGCAGCTAATCAATCGATCAATCAATCAATCAATCAATCAATCGTTACTTATCCCCTAAGCTCTTATCAGAATACAAAAAAAAGTATATATTAAAGTAAACCTCTTGGTCCTACACTCGAGCTTTTTGCTTGAGTTTTCGTTTGTTTTGATTTATGTTTGCAACTCGTCTGCCCACATCCCTCGGTTGGACCGCTTAATCAAACAATGGAATGCCACAAAAAAAAAAAACATTTTCAATTAAATGACTACAAAAAAAAAAGAGGAGCACACGAACATTCTTTAAGAGTATATCGATTACAGTGGCTACTATTATTATTTTATGCATTATATTGTATAATTATTTGAAACTATTTAAGCTTTGGTATACGTAAGGCGGTAAATGGTTTGCTGCTGCTTCTGGGTTTCCTCTTCTGGTGCTTCACTGTACGCTAAGTTTATTGCTTACTGCTTGGTGGTGGGTCGCCACCCTTCACACTCCACACTCCTCCAATCTACTTGTTCTCCACTCCCAGGAGCTTGGCCGCCTCGTCGGCGGAGGAGAGCAGCTTGTTCAGGATGCCCTGGTCGCTGATGCCCAGCAGGTTGCCGATCAGATCGGAGCTGGCCACCGAGGCGGCCACTGACGGCAGCGGCGTCGCTGCCTCGCCGATGTTCTCCTTGTGCTCCCCCAGCCGGCTGGCCACTCGCCACTCGCTCGACTTGTCCAGCAGCTCGTGCAGCTTCGGCAGGCGCAGACCCAGCTTGCCGTTCGTGCTGTTGCTGTTGCTGTTGCTGTTGTTGCTGTTGTTGTTGTTGTTGTTCTGGCAGCTATTGTTGTTGTTGGGGGTGGCTGAGGCCGGAGCGGGTCCCGGGGTGGGTGGCGGAGTGGCGACCTGCTCATCGTCGGAGCAGTCGGACCCCGGATTGTCCCCGTTGTGGGCGCGTCCGCTGTGCTTCTTCATGTGGCGCAGCATGCTGTGCTTCAGGGTGAACTTCCGCAGGCAAATCTCGCACTGGAACGGCCGCTCGCCGGAGTGGGTGCGCATGTGGCGGCGCAGGTCCTCGGTGGACCAGAAGCGGCGCAGGCAGAAGGCGCAGATCACCTTGCGGTTGCTGTAGTCCGGATACTTGCCAGAGCCACCGCGCGCCCCTCCGCCACTCGCCTCATCGTCGGAGCCGGCACCCGGAGTGCTCTGCTGCTGCTGCTGCTGCTGCTGGTTGGACTCACTCGGACGGGCAGTGCCTGCCTCCGGCTCGATGGCTCCCTTGGCCAGGAGCAGGGCAAAGTCGTGGGCGTGCGACTGCTTGATGTGCTCGAGGCAGTGCAGCCGCTCGGCGAACGATCCCTCGCACAGATGGCACTTGTACGGCAGATCTCCGCCAGCGCCAGCATCGCCCGTGGCAGTGGCCGAGGCTGCAGCTGCGGCAGCTGCAGCGGCATTCATTTGTGCCGCCAGCTTCTGGATGAGCAGCAGGCGCTCCTTTTCGCGCTCCCGCTCCAGCTCCTGCTCCAGCTCCAGCTGCTTCTCGCGCTCCCGCTCCCGCTCCAGCTCGAGCTCCCGCTCGCGCTCGCGCTCCCGTTCGCGCTCTGCCTCCTGGCGGCGACGCTGCTCCTCCAGCTCGATCTCCTCGACGGACTTGGGCACGGGAATCGGCTCGCTGACGTCCTCGGTGGGCACGTAGACGGACATGGCGGACTCGACGTTGCCGTGCTTGCGCAGCAGGTGGCGGTCGCAGTTGCTCTTGGTGGTGAAGAGCAGGGGGCAGTGGGAGCACTTGAAGGGCTTCTGGCCGGTGTGGGTGAGGATGTGGCGTCGCAGCGAGCTGCTCCAGGGGAACATGCGCTGGCAGTAGGGGCAGGAGACGCGGTTGGGCGCCAGGCTGTAGGCGGACTTCTTCTTCGGCTCGCTGCCGGAGCTGCTGCTGGTGACGTCCTCCGTGCCGGAGTTGTTGCTCTCGCTGGCGCTGCCGGAGGCCACGAGGCCCTCCTCGTCGCTCTGCTCCATGTGGTTGGCCACGTCGCTGGGCCGGAAGTAGCTGTTGAAGCTCATCTGGCTGCTGGTGGCGTTGTCCACCAGCTTGGCCACCGGCACCAGGTCCTGTGACTCGTCCTTGAACGGCGAGCTGGCCACCTCCTTCAGCGACTTGGCCACCGCCTCGGCCTGGGCGATCATGGACTTCATTGTGGGATTCGGTGGACTCGGCTCTGGCATTGCATTGATCTCGATCGGCGATGCCGCGGGTGAGGCTGAGGGTGAGGGCAAGGGCGAGGGCGAGGGCCTGGCAGTGGGCGTCGCCGACTTGCCCGCCTTGCCCGCCTTGATGGCCTGCTCGAGGATGGTGTCGGCCATCTTCTTGGCCGCCTCAGGGGCTGCCGATGCCGATGCCGACTGCTCCAGGGGCTTCTTGGGCGGCTCCTGCTCCTCCTCTTTCGGCTCGTCCTGCGCCTGCTCCGACTCATCCATTGGCTCTGGCTCCTCCGGCTCCTCGTCCTCGTGCTCATCCTCCTCCTCCTCCTCCTCTTCGTCGTCGTCGTCGTCGAACTCCTCCACATCCCCCTCGACATCCTCATCCTCGTCAATGATCAGCTTCGGCTCATCATCATCGATGGCGCTCGCCGCCGCTGGGCCAATCCCATTGTGGATGCCATTCACCAGATGCGACGAGCCGGACGACTGGGCGTGGCCGTGGGACTGCGACTGCGAGTGTGAATGGGAGTGCGAGTGGGAGTGGGAGTGGGAGTTGGAGTGGGAGTGGGAGTGTGGGTGCAAGTGCGAGGGTGGTGGGGCGTAGCCAAAGTGCTGCAGGAGGGGATTGGCACCGGCCACGCTGCTGGAGCCATGGGCCAGCGCCTGCTGCAGCAGATCCGTGTTCTTGTGCGCCTTCAGCTGCTGCGCCAGGATGGCGTACTTCACCTGCTCCGAGATGGGGGCATGGCCGTGGACATGGCCCGCCCCCGAGCCGCCCTGGCTCATGGCTGCCGCTGCGGCAGCGGCTGCGGCCACAGCTGCCGCGGCATTGGACGCACCGCGTCCGCGCATCACGTGGTGTCCGCTGCGCTGTCGCTGGGCATAGAACTGGGGATGCTGCTGCTTCACGTGCCGCTCCATGTTCGAGCGCAGGGTGAAGCGCGCGGAGCAGTGCTCGCAGGCGAAGGGCCGCTCGGTGCGGTAGCGGCGCTGCTTCTGCTTGGGCATCAGCACTCCGTTCTTGATGACCATCTTGACGGGGCCGCCGGGCGGCACGGGCACGCCCACCGGCATCGGCATCGGCAGCGGCAGCGGCAGCGGCATGCTGCCCATGCGCGACGGAGGACTCAGCTGCGGCGGCTGCTTCTCGGCATTGCCCTGAGGCGGCGGCGGGGCCATGAACCCAAAGAACGGGAAGCCCGGCGTCTGTGACTGGAACATGAGGTTGCGGAACAGCTGCTGCATGTACTGGGAGGCGGCATCGCCTGCTCCACCTGCTCCAGCTGCAGCTCCTCCTCCTGCTGCTGCTGCTGCTCCTCCGAAGAACTGCTGCTGGGCGAGCAGAAGTTGCTGCTGCTGCTGCTGCTGCTGCTCCAGGACGGCGGACAGTTCCGGCACTGTTGAGGGTGTCGCTGTGGCTGTGCCAGAAGCGGAAGCGGAACCGGAGGCTCCGCCCGCTGTTGGCTTCTTGCTGAGATCCAGCACATCCATGCTAAAGTCCAGGGCTGTGCCGCTGCCGCCTGCGGATGGAGGCTGCTTCTTGTCCACCAGCTGGTCGAGGCTCTTCACCTGGATCTTGGATGGTGGCCCGGCGACAGCAGCGCTCCCTGCGGCGACAGCTGTGGGCTCTCCCAGGAGCATGTGCTTCAGCTGGGAGCCGCCCTCGGCGATCGGCACAGTGGGCGGGGGCGGCGGCGGCGGTGGTGGGGAGACGGAGCGGAAGCTCAGATCGGCCAGATCGTCGCCGAGGCCTAGCCGCGACTTGCCGTCCTCGCAGCTGGCGTCCTCTGCCGGATGGTAGACGATGGCCCGCTTCACGTCCTCGCGGCTGGTCTTGCCGTGCCGGTTGCGCAGATGCCGCTCGCAGTTGGCCTTCGTGGTGAAGGCGTAGTTGCAGACGGCGCACTCGTAGGGCCGATCCCCGTTGTGGGTGCGCATGTGGCGCACGAGGGCGGCCTTGTCGCAGACGGCGTAGGGGCACATGTTGCAGCGGAAGGGGCCGGAGGGGCCGACGGAGCCGAGATGCACCCGGTTGTGGCCCTTGAGGGCGCGCAGGTTGGGGAAAACGGCGGCGCAGAGCTTGCAGGGGAACTCGCCGCGCAGCTTCATGCGCCGGAACTCGGAGGTGAAGACGTCCTGGGCCTCCTCCTCCTGGTCGCGCCCGTCGAGGCTGTACTGGCTGGAGCAGGGCGTGTTCACCGACTGCTCGAAGTTGCGCAGGAAGCTGGAGGTGCAGCTGGAGCTGGTCATGTTCAGGATGCTCTGGATGTCGGCCAGATCCTTGCTGTCCGCCGGCTCGTGCTTGATGGGCGACGGCGGCGCTGAGGTGGATGCCCCGGCGGCAGCTGCGGCTGCGGCAGCGGCAGCGGCGGCGGCGGCGGCTGCCTTGCCCTTGAGGTACAGCTGCTGGAAAAACTCCTGCTCCGCCTCGCGCTCGGTCCTGGCCTCGTCCTCGTCCTCCTCCTCATTCTCCCCTTCGCCATGGTGCAGCGGGGAGCTGCTGGCGCCCAGCAGGGGCGGCAGATCCACGCCCGCCAGGCCGCGGCAGCAGTGCGCCTGCAGCTGGCGGTGGCTGGCGAAGATCACCTCGCACTCGCGGCACTTGGCGGGTATGTCCGAGTGGCGGGCATCCAGGTGGGCGCACAGCCCCGGCAGCGTTTCAAAGTCGGAGGCGCCGCACGCGGGGCAGCTCAGCAGGGGCATGGCCGGGGCGGGGGAGCTGGAGCTGGAGCGGGAGCGCGAGGCAGCCCGCGAGGATGCATTGACTCCGGCCAGCAGGGTGGCCACATCCGGGGTGCTCGTAATGGATAGCGGCATGGCCATATCCTCATCGGTGTCTGGATCTAGATGCTCCTCCTTCATCTTGGGCTCCTCCAGCTCCAGCTCCAGCTGCAGTTGCAGCTCCTTCACCTGCTCCTCCTGCTCCGCTCCTGCCTGGCAGCCATCGTCGATGATGTTGTTGTTGTTGATGGTGGTCTTGGGGCGACGCTGCTTGATCTGCTGCAGCTCCTTGTGGTTGTTGTTCGCCTTGTGAGGATTATTGTTGTTGTTGTTGTTGCTGTTGGTGTTGTTGTTGTTGGTGTGGGCGTGGGTGTGGGCGTTGCTGCTCCCATGGCTGTGGGCATGGCTGTGTGCACTGGACACATCCGTGGAGCAGCTGGCATCACTCTCATAGCTCTCCGCACGTCCCGTATGCCCACCCAGTGACAGCTGCTGCTGCTGCTGCTGCTGCTGCTGCTGTTGCTGCTGCTGCTGGGAGAGGCGTCGCTGCTGCTGCGACTGTGACTGTGACTGCGACTGCGACAGAGAGGCGCTCTGCTGCGACGTCGACTGGTGCTGCTTGTGGGTGCGCATGTGGCGGTGCATGTTGCCGTTGGTGGTGAAGGTCAGGTGGCAGTAGCGGCAGTTGAACGGACGCTCGCCAGTGTGCACCAGCACGTGTCTGTCCAGCGACGAGGCCGAAGAGAGCACCTGCAACGGGACACCAAGTGGTTGGCAAAAGTGAGGTTAAGAACGGCGCCAAAAGAGAAACAGAGAAACAGATAAACAGAGAGAGAGAGAAAGAGAGAGCGAACAAGAATAAAGGAATCGCTTTGTGCTGGACTTACCTTCGAGCAGATGCGACACGTGTAGTTCTCGGTGTCGCCGTTGGCGTAGTTGTGGCACCTGATGTGGTTGGTGAACTCGTGGGGCGTGGCCGAGACCACCTCGCAGATGGGGCAGAGGTACTTCATGTGCTCGTCGCCGGCCCCGATGCCGGACTCGCCGCTGGACAGGCACAGGCCCTCCGGCGAAGAGGCGCCCGAGCTGCCGCTGCCGCTACCGCTGCCGCTGCCACTACCGCTGCTATTGCTGCTGCTGCTGCTGGAGGCATTCGACGCCTGCTGCGCTGCAGCAGAGACGGCGGCCGCGGCTGCATGACTGCTGCTGTAGCTGCTGGCGTCCACGAATCCGGACTCCGAGAGGTCGCCGTTAGCGGCAGCGGCGCTGCGGTTCAGTCGGAACTTCTTGCGCAGCGAACTGGCGTCGCCGGCACTGTAGTCCATCACGATGCTGGCGCTGGCCGCCGCGCTGGAGGCAGCATTGCGTCGCTGCTTGTGGCGCGGCCGCTGCACAGCCACCGTCTCCTCCAGTGCGCGTGGCCCCTCCTCCTCCTCCTCGTCGTCACTAAGCAGATCCTGCTGCTGCTGCTGCTGATGCTGTTGTTGGTGCTGTCGCAGCTTGCGCTTGCGCGACGATGCCGGGGCCGTGTCGTGTGGCGTCGATGTGGGCTGTGGGCCGCTGCTGCTGCTCAGCTTCTTTGGTGTGCGACCGAGGTCGAGATGCTCCAGCGAGGACTCCGATGTGGTGGACTCGCGGCGCTGACGCTCCATTGCTGACTGAGTGGCACTGGCGCTGGCGCTGGCGCTGACCGTGGCCGTGCTGTGTGGCTGCTGGGTTGGCTGCTGCGGTTGCTGTTGCTGGGCTGCTGCCAACATTTTGCCGACTTTTACTCGGCTGATTACTGCGCTGAGATCGAAGTGGGGTTCGAGTCGATTTGTGTCTCGACTTTCAGTGGTGCTGAAAAGTGAAGGGAAAAACGTAGAGAAAGGTTAGACAAATGTCAGAAAGGACAGGGCTGCCAGGGCAGCAAGGTAAGGCAATGGCACTGCCAGCCCAAAATCTGTCTACATTCCCAGAACTTTCCTAAAGCTGCGTTTACAATGCCCTCAGCTATGATCCACGATTCCTGCCAAATGATTCAACGGTGAACAAAGCGTGATTCCACACACACACACACATGTATGTATGTATGTACATGAAAGCTCTACGCGATTGAGACTCAGTGTCTAAACGCACCTGAAGCAAAACAGACTCCACGCCATTCGGAGTGCGGAGCCGTACCCACCACCCACAGCTGATCCAAGCCCAGCCACTTGTGTAAAATGTACTCGAAATCGACTGCCAGTTCGTTTGTGCAAAGGAATGGTGCAACGGTAAATGCAGCAGCAGAGAGAGACAGAGAGAGAGAGAGAGACGAGAGACATCTGGAAAAAGCTTTCAAGGTGGAATCGATTGGCTTATCCAGCTTTTGCCGCTGCTGTACTGCATTTTAGCATAGACAAATGCAAAATGTGGGTGCATGCTCATGAGCATTTCGCACCCCCCAACCCCCCTGTGCTATCAGTGCTAATGCTGCCGCACACACATCGGAGGGCATTGCTTTGTGGAAATCCTTACTCGACCGAAATTCAAGCGATAACGAGAGAGCGGGCGAGCGAGCCAAATTGTGTCCATTGTCCATTGGATTTCGGCCTCACATTTTGGTTGGCTGATTTCAGTTTCGCCCGTGAGTCATCCATCCCCCCACACATGAAAAGTCATTCAGATAAAGATAAAGCCCTCTCTTTCGCTCTGTCCTCTGTCCCTACAAATTGAACATTTATCAATGAAATATTTCCTTCACCACCCGGGGAAAAGCTCTTTCAGCTTGAAAGTATCGCGCCAATCATTAGCATGATTGCAACCAACGAACCCAACCCAAAGTGCCGCTGAGGTGCAGCGTGTGACACCTCCTCGCAGATTACACAGATCGTCAATCTACATTAGCCTCATGCCTCCGAGGGTTCATCCCTCACTGCCTGAGAGGAGTCAAAGTTCAAAGGGTTCTCTGTGCGAGATCAGAGAGGATGAAGGCACAGCTCTTGACCCAAATAAACTGACCCGAAATGGGAGTTGGCATGCCAAAAATTAGGGAACATTCGACCTCTGGTTGTAGGGGAACTTTCGACCGGTATACAAAGGGATTCTAGCTCAAAATAAATTCAACTTTTTTGGGTTTGTTGAACATTTTAAACATACTTTGGCTGAGAGATCATTTTACTCATTGTATGGCTTGTATAACTTTTTGAGCAGAATATTTGGCTGTAATAATAGCCCCCATCTATCGGTATTTTCACACCGATATTTTGTGTTTTTCATTTTAAAACTAGGGGCAGAGTTTTCCAACGATTTCTTGCAGTTCTTAAGTGAAAACAAATCGAAGAGGAAAAGTTGAAGCTTCTTGGAATTGGAGTCTTGTACTCATTGTCAATCCAATGGAATAAAATAGAATGAGTGTCAATTCAATTAGCAATTTGCAAATTGAGAAGAGGAAATCAGAAGCTCCCCACGGAAGCTCTCTCACATGTGAGAGCTCTCCGACGTCCCACCAAAAGGGGAAAAAGTTCATCCTGTCGATAATCCACATTGGTCAGGGGGCTGGCCACCGCCAAACATTCATTTCCACTCTCACACACAACAAAAAAAAAAACCAACAAAAATATATTTCACATTTCACAGACAAAAAAAAAAAGTTTTACCTTTGCTGATTATTCTTGTAGTTGCGGCGGCATTTCCCGCTCTGGGCCTAGACTGGAACGGCAGCGGGAACGGGGGTACACGCCACTCTTTTAGATCTTTTCTTTTTTATTTTTAACACTAATCTCTAGATTCCGATTTCGATTTAGTTTTGGTTTCGGTTTCGGTTTCGGTTTCGGTTTTGTATGCACTTTTCTGTTTTGTTTCTTTTTTTAGGTGTCACTTTCGTGTGCTTTCGATCCGTTGATGGATCTAATCACAGTTCTTTGGTTGAAAAAAAATCACTGATTTTTCGATGGATATTTGGAGATGATATCCAATATTTGGATTTTCGATGAACGCAAAAAAAAACTATATTTGATGCACCAAGAAGTGTTTGCTTGTTGTTGTTGTTTATTTTTGGTTGCAGTTTCCTTCTGGCACTTTGCGTTGTGTGTTTTGATGTATCGTTTAGCTGCTCCTGTATCTCTGGTACTTTGGTACAATTTTTTAGAGGCGCTCTGCAGATGCTTTCGCGTTGACGCGCACACGAGTTCTGAGCGCAGCCGCAGCGCAAACCGTTCGGCAGAGGCAGATGAAGCTCGACTGAATAGATGTTATATCTACGGAGTTGTATTTATAAAAGCGTACGAGCAGCGTGAGAGCAGAGCAGGGCAGAGCAGCGTCAAAGCAGAGCAGCAGCAGCAGCAGCAGCAGCAGCAACAGCAGCAGAAGCAGCAGCACCACCTGAAAAGAGAGCCAGCCTGCCGTGCCGTCCGTCGCGCTCGTTCGTTCGGCAGTTTGTTATCTGAGCGAGAGCGGACACAATGGCTGCCTTTGGCACTTCGTCTTTTTCCTCTCTTTCTGCTGTTTGTGCGTGTGGCTGCTGCTGTTGCTCGTGTCGTTGGTGGTGGTGGCTCTTTTGCGCCTTGGTATTGGTTAGATAAAAGTGCAGAGACTGCGCTGCAGCTACCGCTGCTGCTGCTGCTGCTGCTGCTGCTGCTTCCTTCGACGTTCAAGATTTAGAGAGCAGAGCAAGCCACGCAGCTCAGCGGCAGAACAGCAGAATCAATTCTTTGTCGGATTTTCTTTCGTTTCTGTTTTTTTTTGGCTGCAAATAGGATTACGCACACACACACACGCCCGCACAGATACTACATTTCGTGCGTTCGGGTGTGTGTTAGAGCAGGAGAGCAGCAGCTCCCCCAGCTCCTGTGGCATCTGATGGGGTGGGGTGGGCGTATGTGTATCTTTTTGGACTGCACCCAGTAGGATTAAGGAGCAGCACACACACACACACACACACACACACACACACACACACACAGATACATTTGTACTCGTGTATCTTTTTCCGTTGTTTGGATGCATTTTAGATTTTTGGGTGGAAATCCCGTTGCCATTGGCTACACTTACCATGTTTGTTGCTCTCTCACTCTCTCTGCTTTTATCTTTGCTAATGGAACAGAACCCTATAGATAGATACAGACCAATTTATGTACATACATGTAGACACATTTCCAATAGATTGATCTTTGGTCTTCTCTGTTGGTCACTTATGCACTTCCTGGTGCCAGTTCCTCAACCTTAACCTCAAGCTTCTACAGAACGGAAGTCCCTTTTCTGGGTGCGTCATCATCATCATCATCATCATCATCATCATCTTGAACATCATCGTTGTCGTTGTCGTTGTCGTTGCCGTTCTCGTCGTCATCGTTACAGTTGACCGCCTCAAAGGTGCGCGCGGAGAGGTCAGTGTCAGCTGCTCCGAAAATTGTAAAATGTAAATTGGATTACGAGTATGAACGAAGCAGCAACGACGGCAACCCTTTGTGCCCCCATCCCATCCCTCACTTCACTCTCCCTGGCTTTCCTTTCCCTCCGCTATACCTTCTCCGCTCTCCCTCTGGTTCCTTGCTGGCCACAGTGATCGATCCTTCGATCAATTGCTGTGTCGCAATCGATAGCCCTCGATAATGTTCAGAGCAAAACAATTGTCACAGCTCCACCACAAGAGAGAAAGAGAAGACCGAGAAGCGAAAATGAAAGGAAAATAAGAAAAGTACACCAACAGCAATATCGAAAATATTGTGCAAAAAATGCAGCAAGAGTTCAATACACTTCCACACACACACACACAAATGTAGACACACGCGCCCCCACGCACACACCCACACCCACATGGGGGTGTGCATGTATGGGTACACTCTCCCACACAGACACGTGCAACGTGCCGTTTGTATACAATTTAATAATATTTACGTTTAATTTATAATGAACTTGAAATACTCATGGCACAGTGGAGCCATCGCCATTTCCCAAGCATGTGGTGCGAAAAGTAGAATATCTTTGAGATGATTTATTAGTTCAAAAAAACGTAGTTAAGGACTTTCCAAGTCCCTGCCGTCGAATGGTCTTTAGATACAATTCGTAATTAGATGCATTTTGAAATAATTATTTGCCATATTTTGATTCATTTTTGACTCTTTCGACTATTTTTATTTAATGGATTAAATTGATCTTTAGTACTTTTGAAGGCATTTGTAAATGTAGAAGATGTCTTCCAGCAGTAACCAATCCCTGATTATCGTTCAGCTGCCAACAATTTCCCAATGAGGCAGTTGCCACTGTGCCTGGGGGCTTTGTCTGAGCATTTTGCGTGGGTGGCATCGGCGGAGTCGGAGGTGCTCGTAGGCGAGAGCGACAGCGGTGCAATCGGCGCTAAATGGTAACTGTAAACGTGTTGGCAATGCGTGTTAAATAAACATTAAAGCCAACAGCAACAGCAACAGCAACAAAAGGCAAGAGCAACAATTGCATTTTTGCCATATGCAAACAGCTGGGAAATCGTTTCAATTTCTGTCGCCGTTACCGTCGCCGTCTTCCTCGCTCGCAGCCAATTTTCCTCGCCCTCAACCATTTTTCCTCCGCCCCCATCCTCAACCTAATTCCCGCTACCTCTCTAAGTCACTGTTTCTGTTTAAATTTCAATTTCCCTTTTCAATGGCGACCGTTCAATGGAGACCGAAAGTGCTAAGGAGCTCCAAAGAGAGTGGCAGAGTGCGACGGTGAGAGAGGTGTGGCAGGTGGTGAGTGGTGGTACCGGTGTTAGCGGTGGGGGGGCGTTTTAGACGCAACATTAAAACTTAATTGCCCAACATTTAGTTAACATTTCATTTAGCATAAAACAAATGGCAAAGACAAAAGCTCCCACGCTTTGCTTTTGCTTTTCTGCTCTTTGCTCATCAACTTTGACTGCTCTCCCAGCCTCTCTCTCTCTTTCTCTTTTGTCTATAGCTTTCGTCGCATGGCGTTGACGCTGTTGTTGTTTCTGTTGCTGTAGCTGCAAGCAATGCCTGAAATTCACTTTCGTTTTAATACTCTCTCTCAGAGCGCGAGTCACACGATTCTGACTAAAAGCTTGCACGGCCCGTTATGCACAGATCCATTTCCAAGCAAAAAACACAAGAGATTGCCATGGGTTGTGATATTATTTGCTCGCTGATTTTGCTAGAGTATCAACTGCTTCGGATTACCATGCGGGTGTGCCTTCGGCTGATGTTTTCAATTATAAATGAAAACAACAAAAAGAGCAAAGCAATAATTGTTTTAATTCGCACTTCTTTCGGCTGTCTATGCTTTGCTTAATGTATTTAATAGGTGTTATTGTTGATGTGATTTGCCATTCGAGTGTGTGTGGCGACATGTCAAGGTGACTGGGTACTCACCCCCCCCCCCCCCCACACTCACAAACACACAGCCTTTCCACCTGATAATTATTATTGAAAGGGCGCGCGAGTCGCATTTTGTTTTACGGTTTTCGTTTTGTTTTATTGTATTTCCCCCCCTAACGGGCAAGCGAGCAATAACTATGACCGGCAAAAAGGCACCGCTTAAAAATAACAACACCTACATAAATGAATAACCAAAAGAAAAGAACGCAAATCAAAAAGAGAAGAAGTCGAAAAGAATACGGTAAAAGTACCCTGGAAATGGAAGCTTAATATGTAATGGATCAACTTTAAATAATTTGATAAAATATTCAGATTCTTAGAAAAAAGTTCGTTATGGTAATCAGGATCTATAAATATACTTGTGTAGATCGGTGTTGAAATTTCACCCGAAGCTGATTGTGGATTATGTTCCGTCACCAATCGCAACGATCAATGTCTATGGGCAGGGCAGGCAGTGGCGGGCAGTCCCCCCGAGGGGTATCTAAGCACTTGTGGCCAAACAAATGCCGTTAGCTGATGCCATGCGTCACTTTACAGTTTGTTATTTTGGTGAAATTCCCCGTCCGTACGGAATCACCTGGCTGCTGGTGCAGCAATGTGCGACATATGTAATACTCCCCTCCCGCACCCCTCAACAAATAGAACCACAGTCGCAGAATACTTGAGAATTGAGAATTGATGCAGATGAGAAATTTCTGGGCTCTGATATCCGCATTTTCCGCTTAAGTGTGGCAAAACTGTAACCTTGAAGCTTTCCAGCTAATCGTGGGGAATGTGTGGCTGGGGCAATTCTATGAAAAAACATTTTCTCCCTTGCTACTTTCCATTCACGATTAGAGGAGCGAGAGACTGCTGGCAGGTCTCGGCACAGGAGCTAAGCTCATTAGAAACCAATTGACTTTGCAGGATCATCGACACCCAGACCAGAGTCTGGCCATCATTTGTCCATTGTCCGTTGAGTAACCGTAAGAGATTGTATGTGTGTTTCCGTGTGTCTGTGTGTATCTCTAGTCACTGACTGCACTCCGATCTGTCGATCAGCGATTAGCGCACGCGCCGCTGCCCGAGCCGGAACATGAACCCTGGGCCCCGCAGCAGGTACCAGAACCAGAACTAACATCATCAACGCGAGTGAGCCTCGTCAAGGGTTTTATGATGCGAGCACTGAGCGCGACGCGTCGCCCGTCGCCCCGTCGGGACTCTGTGACTAAGGAGTATGTATGGGAATGAGATTTGGATTGCGTTGCATCAACTGAAAGTTGTAGGTTATATCACTAAATCATGCCGTACGCTTGGATTGGAATTGACTGCTTCGTGATGAATAACTCACTTCTAGTGGCCCGAAATGATTTCTGAGTAAACTGCGAGTGCTGTGCGTTGCGGTGGGGGCTGTCTCGATAAGGTGGCTGAGGTGACGCCCGACCCGATATGGGTCGACGATATCTGCGTTGATTTTGGGGGTTTTCCAGCGTGCCAAAGACCTCGTGCAGCCACCACATACATTGACTCTGACTCTGTACCCGCCTCACCTCTCGCTCGATCGAATCTACGCGAATCTATCGATTGTGCGACATCATCATGGTCAGTGGGTTTCGGGTGCTGTGCGAGCTCTACATTCGGTGTGTCGCTGTCGGGGTCGTATCTGGGCGTGAATCAGACGAAAAGTACAACAAGCAGCACGACCACCACCCTAACTAACAGCCCAGCGCAGCGCAGCGCAGCGCCTCTTCTGCGGTGTCATCAGTAACGTTCATTGAATAAGTATCGACCGTACCGTACCGTACCGTACCAAAGCCCAGCCCAGCCCATCCATCCATCCATCCAGGCAGCGCAACGCAGCGCTCGTAAACGATAAGCAGCTGGAACTGGAACTGGAAGTGGGACTACAACCC